GATGCCCCTTCTTTTGCTGGCGGTCTTGCTTTTGGTGGTGCTCCTGCTTTTGGTCCTGCCCCTGGCTCGTCTGTTGATGCTGTTGCCCTGGCTTTTGTTTTTTTTGCTGGTGATGCTTTTGGATCATTGGTCCAAACTGAAGGAAGCCACTCTGGAGCGGGCACTGGTGGCCTGGCAAAAGCCGGAGTAGCAGAACTGGAGGATGCAGGTTCACCACCCCCTGTTGTGGTGTCATCGACATCTGTCTCCGGGATCTCACACGGAGCAGTTCGTGCTCTTTTGGCATCTGGCAGCACCTCAAATGCTTTGCATTGAAGACGACACACACACACTCAATTGAGGATGTCAATTGTGACTGAAATGTTATTATTTATTCTTGAAGCTGAAGCGAAAATGTAGTGTTGCTCCCAGCTGCTGCTGCTGCTGCAGCAGTTCCTCTTGACTTCGTCTTCTGATTTCGCTTCTGAAGCTTCTGAACTGTCCTGGCAGGTGTGTCCACGGGATGTTCCTGCTTGTCCTTGACCATTCTTGTTGTCAAGTTCCTGAGTCAAAGTGGTACGTGTTGGCACTACAGGGCAGGCTGCAAATCAAATCAATGCGGAATTCGAGTCCAGGCACATCTGAATGGAAGCCCAATCAGTCTGCCCTGCAAATTGGTCGGTCCATGTGTTCCAAGCATTTTGCAATGCTGTCTTCCATTCATCCGACGACCAACCAATGGACGGCAGGAGATGCTTCTGCTTCCTGATGCACACTTTGGCAGAACCATGGATTGCATTTAAATATTTACATATTACAACCTCAAAACAACATTCGAAAATCTGAAGCTGCTCAGCGACACGTGATTGCCATTGGCGAAGTCGATAATGTGCTGTTGATCGGCAGCGATGGCCCTGTGATCTGTGTTTCTGTGCTTCTGGACTAAAGTGTCGAACCATGCGACGCATTCGATGCCACAGACCTGCACTGACAGCTGATACCTACAAAAACTAGACAATTGAGTGTCACCTGGACCAATGAGTCAATTCAGCACAGCGACTTGGAAGAGAGCCATGACCAACGCAATCATGGCACACGTCCTGTGCCATCCCGCCGAACAGCAGATCCTGACAATTGAAGGACCACATAGGAGGGTTATAATTATCCTAGTCCCTGAACCTAAAAAAAACCTCCAAGACCTTCAGCATTCAAAGACTCGAGAAGCCTGAGCAACTTGTCGGGAAAATTGAGGATGAAGTGGAGCGTCTTGAGCGCTGCGGGATGACGATACACCTCGGTCAGTAGGGTGAATTATTTATTAAAATTAAAATTAATTATTATACAACTCGATTCATGAAGCAACACCTGTTCGACCAGGCACCTGTGCCATGATATGCTGGTATAGGCCACATTCTCTGCCAAACCTTCCTCCTTCGGCCTCCCTTGGCTTCCATCCATGACTGTCACTGTCACTGCCCTCAATTGTCAATTGAGTGAAACTGAAATGAATGAAAAATGTACAAATGTCATGAAGCTTCGACATGCGCATTGACTGCTGCAAGCGAACCTCCCATTTGTTAGAAAAGTTACATTCCCTGTCCAACCTCTCCAACAAGTCTGTCATCTTGTCATCTGACGTGATGGACGATTTCCATGTTGGGCAACCCCATAACCAACGATCACCACTCTCTTCGGCCAAACGTAGGTTTTGCCGCCCAGGAAAACTGACCTCGAAGTGTTGGAGCAGAAAGCAGCTGCCGAAGAGCTCGGGTTGTCAATAGAGCTCACATCATCAGTAGCATCAATAGCCGGTTCGTGGTCTCTTGTTTCTCTCGGGGTCCTTCCACTTGCGTCCCCAATCGTCCGAGTCCTCTTCGTCTTTGCCTCGCCCCAAGTCACCGGAACTTTTCGTCGTTGAGGCGTCTGCTTTCTTGCTGCTGTAGTTCCCGACATCGAATTGGCTGTATACTATCCCCAAGCTTTGATTGTGCCTCGAATGAACACGGAATTGTAATGATGAAAGGTTAAGCGCAAAAAAAGGGCTGCATCAATCTTTGCCAAAGTGCTCTCTAACGTTCTTGTTACAGGCTGACAGAATCCAGGCTTCTGGTTTGTTGATGCCGTCTCTTGCCCGATTGAAAGATCTCCTCAAATGTTGTTGCATTGAAACAATGACATGTCAGGTAGCAAATTATTCTCAATTGGAAATTGTCTGAAATGTACTGCAGGTGTCACAAGATCACCAGCCTTTCTCGGGCAGAGCAAATAGAGCAAGTAGATTGCTTGCTGTGCTTTCCGGAGATCCTGGCCCTGCTCCTCGAGACACAATTCCTCAGGGAGATGCTGGAGGGCCACACTCGACATAGCACAACTTGAGCCAGAACTGCAGCATTAGGTTACAAGGGGCTCACAATCAATCACCAAGCAAGCTGACACACACACACACACACACACTCACTGAGCCTTCCGCGCAAATATCACTCACATGCCTTCTGAAACGACTTCACCTGGCAAAATGCAAATTTCATGCCAGCCCTGCCCCCCCCCCCGGCTCTGTCAAAACATGCCAGGCAGACCTTGCCATTGATGCTACCACAATAGTTATACTACCGCAAATCATGCTACCACAATTAGCGCTACCACAATTGTTGCTACCACAATTGACAAATTGATGCTACCAGAACTGATGCTACCAGAATTGATGCCACTGCAAAATTAATCGAATCAACCAAGCCAAGAAATGCCATGCTGACTACCACAGTTGCTGCTACCAGAACTGATGGTATCAGAATTGATGCCACCGCAAAATCGAATCAGATGCCACCGCAACAATCGAAGCAATCAAGCCATGCAATGCCATGCTGACTACCACCATTGACATTGATTGATGCTACCAGAATTGATGCCACTGCAGCATCGAATCAACCAAGCCAAGCAATGCCATGCTGACTACCACAATTGATTGATGCTACCAGAATTGATGCCACTGCAGAATCGAATCAACCAAGCCAAGCAATGCCATGCCGACACAGTAACGGCCTCCCCAGCGTCTTTGCAAACACGAGCGTGCTCTGACAGTCATGCGGACTGGAGACTTCTTATTTAAATGCCACCCCCATTTGGCCAAGATGGGGTCACCCTGCTGAGTATGCGCCTTCTTTGCCCTATGCGGAGCGCTGAAATCCAATTGCCCTGCATACAGGCCCGCAAGAGGACAGGTCATGCTCGTCATCGAGTGCACCGGAATCGCTGCGCGACGCGCCGGTTACTGAAGACCTGTCAATGAGGCACAGCATAAGATGCCATGCGGGGCCATGCCGGCAAGCAGCAGTGATCGAAGTTAATACTTCGACCGTGGTGTGGGTACGTGGCATAGTATTTAATATTAGCAAGGCCTTCCCTGCAATCTGTGTGCATTTCACCCTGCGGCGGACACACCGCCTGGCTGAACAGGCAAGCAGCACACAGAGTAAATCCCCAGCGCCCGGCCAGCGACACTGTCCCGCACGGATCAAGGACCCATTGCTCACGTGGTCCGAGCCCGACTGGAGCGGTCTCCAAGACCACTCTGAGCTGGGGCGTGCAGGATGGGTAGGGCGAGTCGAACCAAGCCAAGCAAGCCAACCAAGCCAACCAAGCAACCAAGCCAACCAAGCCAACCAAGCAGTGGCACGTGATCGCTCAATACATCCGGCTTGGACAAATGCAAAAATGTTTGGCAAAAAAGGGTTTCCTCACGCTGGCTTCCCAGTGTGCTTTAAAATGTTTTGGTCAACGGCCGTGCCCCCGGTACTGAAATTCCTAATAAAATACATAAATTAAGCTAATACTACAACAGCTTGAAACCTTAAATCGGTATATTGAACTGCACTATTGAGGAAATTGGTTTTGGCCTTCAAACCCCCCTGATCCAGCCCCCAAGGATCCAACCCTCAAAACGAGTGTGTGGACAATAAGCTGGTATTTGTGTACATACACACACATACATACATACATACATACATACACACATACATACATACATACATACATACATACACACATACACACATACATACATACATACATGCATACAGACATACACACATACACACACACATACATACATACATACATACATACATCCATACATACATATATATATATACATATACATATACGGCCCATATATATATATATATATATATATATATATGAGTGACACTGTAAAAATTTGTAAAGATGTACAACCTGTTCAACACATAACACAATCTGATGTAGTGCAATATAAAGCAAGATAAGATAACACAATATTAGAAAATACCATTTTTAACATAATATGATCCAAACCTATAAATAATGCAAGAAACAATCACACAGTATAGTATATTCTAATAGAATTAAATATAACATAATTACTACATGGAGACATGGTAAGGTTCCTAGGACATGTAGCATTGGTAACGTTCTTAGGGTACCACAATGAAGCTGAAACTCGGCCCTCCAGGAGTTTCAGGACCCTAGCGTTGAAGATGATCCTCAGTCATGCAAAGATTCCACCCAAAGAGCCTTACTAGTTTGAAGCCCCGCATCTGAGTCTTGTGTTAGTGCTCCGTCCTGAACCCTCGAGCAATGAATGCCCTGATCTTGCGGAAGTAATCGCGGTTGACATCAGGACACCACAAACCCTCAACCCTCAGCTCTGCACGCTCTATCTTAACCTCAAGTAACCCACCTTGTGCAGACATATACCACATATATATATATATGAGGAAACTCTATACGCTAATTTCCTGTTATCATAGAATGCTTCTAAAACCCTTAACCCTCTTAAGACCCCTTCTAATGAAAAATATGAGGGCTCATAGAGAAGACCCACCTAAAAACACAGGGATCCTTAATAAGGTGCCTCACCAGGGGCGCTAAACCCGAAACCCTAAAAGCCTAAACCCTGGCCCTAAAACCTAAAACCCGTAAAGAATCCGAAACCCCGAACCCCGTGCACAACCCGAATCCCATCACCAACGCCAATACCGAGGTGCCTTGCACTCCAGACACTCGATGTGATCGTGAGTCACCTCCGACAGAGGCTGAAATCGGAGGCTCTGAAACTTTCAGGCTTAGGGGGTAGGACTTAGGGTTACCGTTTAGGGTTTAAGGGCATGTGGGGGCATAGGATGTATGGGGTTAGGCTGTATAGGGTTTAAGGGTATGTGGTGGCAGATGTAAGGGGGTTAGGGTAGGGTTTCAGGATTCAAGGGTATGTGGGGGCGAAGGATGTGGGGTTTGGGTGTATATAGGTTTAGGGGTATTGCGGGGAATAGGATGTAGGGTTAGGGCATATAGGGTTTAGGGGTATGTGGGGTTGAGGATTTAGGCTGTTTCGGGTTTAGGGTTTAGGATTTCCTTGGGTCTTGTTTGTATTTTGCGGAAAGCGCTTCTCGTGCCTGAAGAATGGCGTGCAGGTGGAAGTGCAAATCTAGGATAGCTCATTGTTCAATATTTCATTCAAATACAGGCAGCCGGCAGGCCAGCCTTTCATCTGACTATTGATGATATATGCTTGAGAGGTTCTTTGCGCATGGTGTTTGGGACCTTGCAAAATTGGAGCACCAGATACTACCCTAAGCCTTCGCAAAGCAATCCTCAGACGGAAACGGCTTTTAAAGATCATCAACACCACGAATGCACAAGCAGGCATGCACATGCGTACATCATGCACACATGCATGCAAGCATACATACCTACATCCATACATGCATAAATGCATACATGCATGCATAAACTCATAAGGCTAGAGAGAGAGAGAGAGAGAGAGAGAGAGAGAGAGAGAGAGATAGAGAGAGAGAGAGAGAGAGAGAGACGGAGAGAGAGACGAAGACATGGATAGATCGATCGATAGATCGATGGATGGATAGACAGGCAGGTAGGTCGGTGGGTAGGTAGGTCGGCAGAGAGAGAGAGAGAGAGTAGATCGACTAGACAGAAAGATAGCCACATCCATCCATCCATCCATCCATCCACTGCCAAAGGACACTAGTCCAGAATGCGCACCAAACTACCCTAAAGTAATTCTTTGCACAAGCTCACACGACTGAGACCAAAGTAGCCCTGAAGTTCGGAAGCGCCTTTCTCTCTGCAGAGGGCAAAGTGGTCTTGAGCCACGATGTAGCATTGTGGCAAAGTCTGGGGAAAAAGGGACGTGTTATTTTCACACGCCTCCTCGAGACTAAAGTAAAGTACTTTTTTCTCGTACAGCACATAACACGCACCACGTACAAAGCGTGTTTATGGCATAAGAGAAAGAAGAAAAGTTTGGCGGTTTTGCATTCACACCAAAAGTCGCAACAATGCCTCATATCTACAGCATCACAACTTGCACGTAGGGAGAAAAGTAAAGCGAAGTCGGCCCATTGAAGTGCAGCGACAAAGTGGCTTCGTAGTGACCAGAAAAGTACGTAGGTTGGTACCAAAGTACAGCAACCAAGGAATCAAACTGACCAGCCATGTAGGCTCATAGCCGTGGCCTTGCCATGGCCTGCCAAAGCGCACGAGGGACAAAGTCCCAAGTCTGAGACTTCGTGCTGGCATCCCAAAGTCGCTTGTTGCCTGGCAAGTGGAAAAGTCTCCACCATGGCGAGTCCGATCGTCGAAAAGTGTGTCCAGATTCTCACACAGAAAGTAACCATCATCATTTTGTGGGTGAAAAAGTAGAACTCCACTTTGCAGCATGCACCTGCCCTCTTGGGAATCAAATCCCAAGGAATCCTTCCCAGTCCCAGACGAAGGAATCGCCAGGAAAAAGTCAAGATATCGAAAATCCTGACCTCAAAAGTCTGCCGACTGAAACCACACAGTAGGGAACGCTGCAAACGTAAAAGTGCAGCAAGCAGGGCTGGCCCTCAAAGTCAACCTTCACAAGTCTGCGTCCAAAGACCGTCAAAGGCTGACCCGAAATGCTCCTCAAAGGTGGAGCCTTCCCAGTGAGTGGCAAAAGTGGTCACTCAGAAGCAAAGTCCTTCGGACAGCAGTGGGTCGCAGCACCCGAGTCAAAGAGGATCCAAGGCTCAGTGTCCTCCAAAGTAGAAGCAATCAAATGCTCCTCCAAAGCAACATCCTTGAATGTCGTATCCAAATTCTTAAGACCAAGCTCACCAACACTGAAAAGTCGTTGGTTCTCATCCGTGCGACCATTCAAGGAGAAAGTCTCAAGAGGGGCCATGCAGGCCGTAGGCTCAAAGTTCTCACAATCACTGAAACCACCAAAGCTGAAGTCTACAACTCCATTCGTCATCCCATCAACTCTGAAAAGTGTTCCCCAAACCAGAGTTGCCGAGAACAACAGCCGACATGAGCAGCGCTCGGGCTGATGCTTGCCTTAGCTTTCGGTTTGGCTTTGGTGGCTGAAAGCCCTGGTGGTCCTTGCAAAGTCACGGCTGGCACGGGCAAAGTTGCCGCGCAGCTTGACGAAGAAGCCTCTTCCTTAGGCTTCGCCAAAGTTTCGGCCTTCGCCGAAGGAGCGGCCTCTGAAGGCCAAGCGTCCGAAGTAAAGTCTTAGTTAAGCATTCCAGGACCAAGTATCCCAAGACCAAAGTTGGTCATCCCAAGTGTGATCCCAACTGTCATCGTTGTAAAGTTCATTTACCGCGTTGATCGCCCAGTCGGTCCAATCCGACCAATCGTCCTCACCAAAGTGATTTCAATCTCCTGTGTCGTCCGACGGGTAACGTTCTTCACCTTCAACAGCTGAAACACGGCAGTTCGGGCAGTTGTTCGAAAAGTGACCTGTCTTACCACACGACCAGCAGACCGAAGTAGAGCTAGAAGTTGGCTTTCCTCCTTTTCCTTTCCTCTTTCCTTTCATAAAGTTCCAATGCTGATTTCCTTTTCCGGATGATCTCGAAACCGTTCGAATCTTCGTTCTGCCTCACGACAAGTTTCGCCGAATCTTTCACAAGTTGCGAAATCAAGTAATGTAGCTTTCGGGAGAAAAGTACTCGGTTGGCGGTCTGTTCAGGATCTACATCACCGGTGTCCAAAGTGACTGTTAGATCCGCATCCGTAAAGTCACCTTGTGCGGCCGTACGCATTTCGGCGTTATCCATCAAAGTCACAGCACCTACCTCGAACATCGAAATGCACGCCTTGAAGTTCCATGACCATTCTTCCCAGTCTGCTGGGTTCCCGGAGAAAGTTTCTAGTGCCATGTTCTTCTACCAAAGATCCTTGGAGCTTTCAGCTCCGCTACCATGCGAAATTACACTTGTCCAGAATGCGCACCAAACTACCCTAAAGTAATTCTTTGCACAAGCTCACACGACTGAGACCAAAGTAGCCCTGAAGTTCGGAAGCGCCTTTCGCAGAGGGCAAAGTGGTCTTGAGCCACATTGTGGCAAAGTCTGGGGAAAAAGGGACGTGTTATTTTCACACGCCTCCTCGAGACTAAAGTAAAGTACTTTATTCTCGTACAGCACATAACACGCACCACGTACAAAGCGTGTTTATGGCATAAGAGAAAGAAGAAAAGTTTGGCGGTTTTGCATTCACACCAAAAGTCGCAACAATGCCTCATATCTACAGCATCACAACTTGCACGTAGGGAGAAAAGTAAAGCGAAGTCGGCCCATTGAAGTGCAGCGACAAAGTGGCTTCGTAGTGACCAGAAAAGTACGTAGGTTGGTACCAAAGTACAGCAACCAAGGAATCAAACTGACCAACCATGTAGGCTCATAGCCGTGTCCTTGCCATGGCCTGCCAAAGCGCACGAGGGACAAAGTCCCAAGTCTGAGACTTCGTGCTGGCATCCCAAAGTCGCTTGTTGCCTGGCAAGTGGAAAAGTCTCCACCATGGCGAGTCCGATCGTCGAAAAGTGTGTCCAGATTCTCACACAGAAAGTAACCATCATCATTTTGTGGGTGAAAAAGTAGAACTCCACTTTGCAGCATGCACCTGCCCTCTTGGGAATCAAATCCCAAGGAATCCTTCCCAGTCCCAGTCGAAGGAATCGCCAGGAAAAAGTTAAGATATCGAAAATCTTGACCTCAAAAGTCTGCCGACTGAAACCACACAGTAGGGAACGCTGCAAACGTAAAAGTGCAGCAAGCAGGGCTGGCCCTCAAAGTCAACCTTCACAAGTCTGCGTCCAAAGACCGTCAAAGGCTGACCCGAAATGCTCCTCAAAGGTGGGGCCTTCCCAGTGAGTGGCAAAAGTGGTCACTCAGAAGCAAAGTCCTTCGGACAGCAGTGGGTCGCAGCACCCGAGTCAAAGAGGATCCAAGGCTCAGTGTCCTCCTTAAAGTAGAAGCAATCAAATGCTCCTCCAAAGCAACATCCTTGAATGTCGTATCCAAATTCTTAAGACCAAGCTCACCAACACTGAAAAGTCGTTGGTTCTCATCCGTGCGACCATTCAAGGAGAAAGTCTCAAGAGGGGCCATGCAGGCCGTAGGCTCAAAGTTCTCACACTCACCGAAACCACCAAAGCTGAAGTCTACAACTCCATTCGTCATCCCATCAACTCTGAAAGTGTTCCCCAAACCAGAGTTGCCGAGAACAACAGCCGACATGAGCAGCGCTCGGGCTGATGCTTGCCTTAACTTTCGGTTTGTCTTTGGTGGCTGAAAGTCCTGGTGGTCCTTGCAAAGTCACGGCTAGCACGGGCAAAGTTGCCGCGCAGCTTGACGAAGAAGCCTCTTCCTTAGGCTTCGCCAAAGTTTCGGCCTTCGCCGAAGGAGCGGCCTTTGAAGGAAAAATCGTCCGAAGTAAAGTCTTAAGCATCAGAAAGGGGGACGTCTTATTTTCACATCCATCCATCCATGCAAACATACGTTCATTTGCGCGTATGTGCATTCATTCATTTATGGTCGTTCATGCATGCATACATGCATACATAAACACGCGCCAGTCATACGTGCTGACACGAAGTTTGGCAGCCACGGCCTCTTTGCCTTCGCCGCTGCAGGCGGGACACACGAACTGCGCACATCAAGGCGGCTTAGAGGGGATCTACCAAGCACGTTTTTAGCCAGGTTCCGTCAAGCTCATCGAACAGTGGGCGAGGCTTTAGTAGCAGGGTGTATACTGTGGCCTTTGCAGTAGCACAGAGCTGGAGAAGGGATACAGATAGATGTCTAAATCTAGGGTGTTGAGGCCCCGAGGTTTAGAGGCCGACCTTTAAACTTCCACAGCGAGGTATGGAATGCGCCTGGGTCCTCCAACAGGACTCAAACGTTCACACCCTCTCCAAGCCAACCTCAGATTTGCAACCGAAACAGCCGAATGGGGCTATTCTCAATGCATGACCTTCGGGTGGCTGCTAGAAACCCTGAGAAATTCGGTACGGTAAAGGCTTCGGGATAGAAGCAGGCCCTCAGAGAATCAGTGTAGCCATCTCTGAATCTCTGATTGACATTTACCCTATGTCCCCAACGGTCCCCTCGCCTACCGCTAACCACCACCCCGACCTAGACTTCGACCCCTGCCCCTTCCCCTCCCCCATACCACTACCATTACCACTACCATTACCATTCCACTACGACTACCACTGCCACTACCACTTGGAGTACGACTACGACTAGTACTGCTACTAATAGCACTACTACTCCTCCTGCTGCCGACTGCTACGGCTGCTGCTCCTGCAGCTGCCGCTGCTGTGTTACTGCTGCTGCTGCACTGCTGCTGGTGGTTGTGCTGCTGCCACTGGCGCAACTACTCCTGTTGCAACTTGCCGAAAGAAGGACCCTACAACTTGCAGCCCGACACAGGAATCCACAAGTTCGATTTCCCAAATATGTTCAACTGGAATCTTGTGAAGGAACTGAATTTAAGTTACCATAATAAAGAAACCCATGATAATACTGACGTTTGATCCCTATTCTGGTAACTTAAGATGCTTAACAGGAACCCAGTCAACCCCCTGACGCACTCCATGTCAGCTCGTGGTATGGGCTTCAATTGCCGCGGGTTTTTCAACTTCATCAACGATGCCGGCTTTCGGGAGCTAAGAGCCTGTCACGCCTCATTCCTTGAACCGCACACGGTCCCCTTGAAGGAAGGCCATCATGCAGGGTCTGCATGACTAGTGTACAGTTCACATGAGTCTTACATCCGAAGTCGGCTGATCCTGACTTAGTTATGGCCTGGTGTAGCCCAGAGTTTGAAGCTCGTTTGAAAAGCTCGAATCTCCCGAGAACTCCGGTAACGATGGTTTCGAATTTAGGACCCCAGACAACCTGTCGACCGGAAATGAAGGCGACATCAGCAGCAGCAGCATCACCACCAGCAGCTGATGTGTGCAATATCCCTCTTAAAGAGAAGCTGGAAGCAAAGCTTGACGCCCTCCGGGCCTTATTGCCCCTTCCTGCAGTGCAATAGCCGGCTCCATCGCAGTTCTTGCAATCCACACGCCGTGTCTTCACCTGCCAAGCTCTAAACACCAACTACACTGTTGGATCTCACACTGTATCGGTGGAAAGCAAAGATCCTGCAGGATATGGACGACACTGCGAGATTTCATATTAAATCGCCTTGGGGTTTTTAGCTTCAGCAGATCTTGAGGCTACACTCCACGGCGCGAAATATTTTGGACTTCAGCATCTGCAGCGGACATCGGACCTAGTGGCAACGCGATACGTAAACAAACTCTAGACCCCGTAACCCGGACTCACAACCTTGCAAATGCGAAGTGTATTTTGAACCTTAGGTTACTATTGTTATTACTGTTACTATTATCATTATTACTAAGGTTCTATTTCTAAAATCTCATATCCTACAAACCTCTTTTTTGACTCCATGCCAGTCTGAGTTCGACACGGAGGTTCCGCTGCCATTGCAGGCTTCGCAGGGCCTGCTTGCTTGAAGCCAGCTCGGAACTGCCGTGAACATGTGAACAAGGATGGCAACTGCAAGTGTGACAATACGAGGTATGATATGCGGACCTGTGGAAGTTCAAGTAATAACAGGAAGCAATCAACGCAGCAGCAACAACCATGACAACACGAACGACACTTCCTGCTTGGCAATTTCTGTCCCACAAGGTCCAGCTCAAATGTACAACCACATCTGCAGTTGTGGAGTTGTCCCGAGACCCGCAAGAACCCCATCTGCGGAAGGTGCGATGTACTGGAAGGGAAAAGGCGAAGCTGTTGTTTGGCTTTGGGGAGTTCACTACGCATCCAGCATCCAACACCGAAAGCATAAAAACGGACCGGACGCGTCGTGAACTCGTTTCAAAATTGACAGGAACCGCAGTTCGCTTGATTTTGAACTGCACTAGAACTTGCTCCACACTGAAACTTCGATGCCGTACTTGCTACTCCCTAGAGCTGTGGACCCTACACCCGCAACTGAAAACCCGAAAGGGCCATTCCAGACACTCCACAATTGCTCGCCTTGAATACCTTGAACTCCAACCGCAAAATACCTGACTAAACCCTGAATACTTATGACCCAAACCCTAAGTTCCTCTATCACGAAACCCTAAATACATTACCTATAACTTTAACCTTCAAGCCTAAACCATTCATTCCAAGGTGTGCCGGCCCCCTTGGCCTACCAGACGCCTGCTTCGGCGGCATGACAATCGGCGACAGCTGATGAGACTCCTAAAATTATGCGAATGTTGGAGTCCAGAGTATAGCTGTTGGGCTTTAGGGTGTTGGTATCTCAGCAGTTGGAGTGGGGGTGGGGGCTGCAGGGCATTGCAGCAGTCTGGCTAAGGCTGAAAAGCAGAAGCGGTACAAGCAGCTGTTTGAGCGGCACTGCTTCGGCAGCGGCGAGTGCCCGGAAAGTCATGCAGTTGATCAAGTTGCGAGATATTTCTGCAACTCGATTGAGCTACTGGAACCAGTCTCACTCAGATACCTACGCCCTTAGCCCCAATGCTATGTGGCTTCCGAACTCCAGGTTTAATAAGCATCCGTGAGGGCCGCGATCTCTTGCGTAAAGTTTCAATGTTGAACCCTAGTCAGGGGTTTGGGTTTAGGAGTTTAGGGTTTAGGAAACCGCTGCTACGGTAAGTATTGAAACTTTACTGGTGGCGAGATCTGCAAACAACGCTGTATGCCCTGCAGAACTACAACCTTCAAGCAACCTCGCAAGGTGTTCGATGCGTGACAGCACAAGCAGATGTCATGACCATAACTAGGCTGGAACCAAGATAAGCTGTTGTTGGATAATAGCCTTTACTGTAAGGGTACCAAGTAGATTATTCCTACATATACGAGCTGTTTCACTTCTACATACTCGGCATATGTGGCCCATCAGTGTCAACGAAGGGAAAGACATGGAACAAGGACCTAGGGAACAAGAGCATGGGCAGGAGAACCTACCAAAGAGTACTGTCAACTGGTGAGTGATTCAAAACATGGCATATTGTGGCATCTAAACATCTTAACACTGATGAAGTAGCAACGGCAAGACCGAAGTTTGCAAGGCATGAGAATGGAACAACCGACTGGAGAGCTTCCAGGGTCGTCCTGCATAATAATGCAGTCCTGGCGCAACTGCACATTCCCATGCGAAGGTACATGGAGCTTGCAAGATGGAGGGCGATGCAGACCAAGTGCCAAGCCGGATATATGGCATGGACATGTTACCCACCCGTCCGTACATTGCTGAGCAGAGAGACAGATGCAATATGTGTGCGTGCGGGTGTATCTGTGTACTAGATAGAGCTGGTCCGCGCTTGTCCTGCTTCTGTTGCGCTTGCATTTGGGAACTATGAGGGGCATAGAATAAAATCACATCCTGCCGAAAGCTTCTAAGCATCATGAGTAACCACAGAACACGACAAGTATACATAGACTCCTAAACTAGCATCCATTCTACTCTGAAAATCCACTGTTCAGGAGCATAGGAGCTGTACTAAGGCTGACTTAGCCGGTGTGGGGGGCTCTGAGGTAGCATGCTTGAGGGTTGAGAGATCAGTTCATTTCAGGGGGAGGGGTGACGTCGATGATGCATGGTGTTGCCTGCCCCACGAAACCCACACCCAAAACCCCCAAACTTCGATCACTTCGGACATTTTTTTGCTTCCTTCAGGTTCGCCGCTCAGGAATGACACAGCCAACCGGGCAAAAGCAGCTTCTCCCTCAAGAAGAAAGACGCTTGGACGGCTATATGTATACCATTTGGATTGAGCGCTTTGGCTTGGCATGAATTTGATGGCATCCTCTATTGCCCAACGTTGATTGAGCAACGCCGAAAAGCCTGGACCCCTCACAAAAGCGGACTCGCCACCAAACTAAAACCGTCAAGCGCTGCCGCCCCCATGGTCTAGCGAGGGCTTCCGGGTGAAGCTGAATTTTGCTGGCTTCTCTAGCCGTCGACGGGATGCAGCAAGCCCATGTGTGTTCGAGAAGAGCAATCCAAGTTACATCAAAGCTCCAAGCCTGCGAACAAGCAGGCACGAGATGGCTACGGTTGCCGTGGGGTCTTGTGGGAAGTGTGACGCTTCATGGCTCCGATGCGCAGCATGCTCCACTTAGCAGGGCAGCGGTGGGGAACCTGCAGAAATCACAACAACAACGAAGAAGAGCTGCTAGATTTGTTGTTAGCTTCCCTTATGCTACGAAACACTGTTGCCTTCTCGCCTCGCCATTAAGGGGTGCCAGAGCAGGGTGGGTGGGGATGGCATCGCGACAAAGGCCTACATCAAGCTTGGCCGAGCCATGTCGATCAGATTCGGCAGCCGACAGAGATTTATGAATTGACTGTCTCGAACTGTACAGTAAGTGATAGTAGGTCGATGGGGCACGTTCGGGGGCAGGGGGCGCCCTTTGCTTTTTGTCTTGTACACAAGCGTTTCAGAACAAGCATGTTGCATTGGGGCATATTCCGAGTTCTTACGAAGCTACTTGCTCTTGAGCTGGAAATTTGACGCTGCGCACTGTATGCCCAAGTGCCTGCAGCTCCAAGACCCCAAATATGTTAAGAGCCATCAAAATGAATGGGCCCAGTCATCTGAAAGCCACGCCCCAAACATCTATTATAAAGCTCTACACACCCATCTCAAGTTCTAGAGCTGTACAGAGCGTTGTCCCTTACCTGGAATCCTGTACGGTTCTACAGTAATTACGTGGATCCGGGAGTTAGACAAACATATATCCTGAAGGGTTTATGGCGTTGTTGAGTGATTATGGTGCCTCCAGATCTATGCATTATGGCATTATGGTATAGAGTCGCTTCCGGTTCAAGATCATACCCCAAACCCTATACGTCCGGAACTGGGGCTTCGGATTCAGGGTTCAGTCGTCGGAATTACGAAGATTCAGGGCGAGGCGTGCAAGGGTCTTGGCATCAGCTCTTTTCCCCTCGCAGCACCGCTTCAAGCGGGAGTTGCAGAATCACATTTGCCGACTTCTGGCATTCCTGGGCCCTTGGGGCTCAATATCCTCTAAAGTTATGAGTTTGTCTTTGTGCGGTTTTAGGGCCTTCGGATTGATAATAGAATTTACCGTAGGGGTCCGTAGGGTGTCTAGCCGCCTAGCCAGAACCCCGCATCGGACGGCTTGGCCGGTTAAGTCCTGCGCCTCGAACCTTGAAGCAGCACATCCTAGAATCCTAGATACGGACCCGGTCTCGACAAACGAATAAACAAACACATACAAAACAAACAACTAAGTAAATGAATCTATCTATCTACCTATCTATATAACTATCGATCTATATATATGTATATACACATATATATATATATATATATATATATGTATCTATATATATATATATATATATATCTCTCTCTTTATATTATACAATGTCGTATATACATATGTAAGATGTACACAAACAGATACAGATACATGTAAATCCGTATAGCCGGAGTTTGCTGGGGGGGAGGACTCCGCCCAGAAGGAGCCTCAGAGCGCCTAGTGCTTCACTCCTTTAAAGGGGTCTATAAGGGTTACTATAAGGGATCTATAATAAGGGTACTATAAGGGATCTATATAAGGGTACTATAATAATGTAGGAACCATATAGTGGGTAGTTAGGCCTTAAAGTGGTCCCTATGTAGGTACTTTAAGGCCTAAGTATCTACTATAAGGGTACATGGAGCCTTTGGGCTAGGCGCTTCACTCTAATGTAGGAACCTGATTAAAAAATCCCAATGCCTCTGTTTTAGGGTTCCTTTTGAAGGGATCTATCAAGGGATCCATAGTAAGGCTACTATAATAGTGTAGGAACCTGATTGAGAAACCCGGGGTCTATAACCCTAAAATAGTAGGATTCATATAAGGAATCCTAATAAATTCCCAAGGTTTCTAATCAGGTTCCTACATTAAGAGAAACCACCACTTGAAAGACTAGCTCCCACAGTGTCTACTTAAATCCAAAAGTGAGGTCGGTATGTTTTGGTTGCCTTGCCTTCAGACTGCCAACCCACGACGCTTCAAGTCTACTGCTATTCCTGCGCGAATTTTGCCGTACTGGCTGCTAACCCATGACTCTTCAAGTCGGTTCTGCAGTGATTCGATGCCAGAGTCTAGGTAAGGGCATGGTAACCCTTTCTAGTGCTAAGCTTGGCTCCAGTTTGTCAGGACATCTTCTGCGCTGCAGGCGTTTCGGGGTTTGGGTGGCATTTCATTGATTTCAGCTTACAGTGCGTGCTTGGTGTGTCGACACTTGGCGCAGTCCATGTAAGCTCTATACATACATATATATATATATATATACATTGGGAGGAAGAGAGAGAGAGAGAGAGAGAGAGAGAGAGAGAGAGAGAGAGAGGCTTCGGAGCAAGGTGTGCAAGGGTTTGGGATGTTGGGTGCACCAAGGCAGGAGGGGTCTTGGGCCATTCAGTCTAGGCATCAGGGTGCAACTTCGGAATGCATACGACATCTCTATCTCGTCCACCCTCATAACCATGAATGCTTGCTTGCAGGTGAAGCGCACCTTAGGGGGTCTAGGTGCGGGCATGTGATCTGAGGCTGCTAAACCCTCAGTCGAGAAACTCTAACCCTACATGGGTTGCGTATTTGCCCGAACAGGATCAAAGGCCTTCTAGCACATGCGCAGGACTTATGGAAAGCGGGTTGAGGTTAGTTCGGGTGCAAGCTTACGAGCTCTGTCAAGCAGCCCACCTTCCCTGCAGAGAACAATAATAAGAATGCCACACTGTGCCTTAAACAACTGATACCAAAAATTACGGATTGAGGGCGCCTGGCCTGCTACCTTTTGCCAGCGTACTTCCAGGTTAGAGGAGGGTGGTCATTCTCGGTGGATCCCGACAATCTTGAGCCGCCCATGCAAACGCAAGGGGAGTGAAACGGAGGAGCACACACTTCTAAATACTTCAAACTAGATTCGACGAGGTGAAACCGTCACCGTCTTTGTTGAGTCCCCACCGTCGCCACAAGGCATCCCCCTAAACCTGAAACGATTTATGAAATGTATATACTAGGCCGTAAGGCCGCAAACCCCAAGACCCTAAACCCCCGAAATAACCCTGAAAGTTTAAACTCTGATCTCATAAACAAAGAACCCCAGAGAATTGAAAGATGGAAGAACAAGGATCGATTAGATCCTGCTGGCATCTACCGTGACTCCATAGCCACCTGGGGCCTTGTTCATCAGCGCAAGGGGGGTATATTCACGTAAGCACGACAGACACACTAAACCTTAAAACCTCTCACACTGAACGTGCTAACCCTAAACCCTAAACCCTACACCCCTAAACCCTAAACCCGAAGAAAAGCCCAGTAAAAAAATCAGCCGGTGGAAGCCGGACCTGGCCCGTTGACATCGATGTGCCCGTGCCCGGACATCTTCCTTGGCAATTTAGGGCTTTAGGTTTAGGGTTTAGGGTTTTTGGGTTTAGGGTTTTTGGGCTTAGGGTTTAGGGCTTAGGGTTTAGGGTTTTGGGTTTTGGCAATGCACAACTAAGGTTTACAGAGTGTCGGGTTTATAGGTTTTAGGGCTTATAGGGTTTTGGGTTTAGGGTTCATATTTTGGGCTTATAGGGTCTATAGGGCTAAGATTTTTCGAGCTCCTTTTTCCACCCTGCAGAGCACGGCTAAGGTTCGGGGTTCGGGGTTCAGGATTTAAGGCTTTAGGGTTTAGGGTTTAAGGTTTCAGGATCTAAGGTTAAGGGTTTAGGATTTAAAAGGTTTTAGGATTTCGGGTAGGCTCTTTGCTTACAAAGCGGAAACCACTCACCGGGGCCGTAAAAAGTAGAGTAGCTGGGTATGGGGACTAGAGGCCTTCATAGATTGCGTCGGCTTTGGGGATATGGGAGTTTCGGAAAATAGGGGATCCTAATATAGTAGGATCCTCATTATAAGGACCCTAAATTTAATAAGGTACAGTACCCCTAATTCTCGGAAACTCCCAGATACTGTACTATAGGAGTGGTTGGAGCTCCGATCTGACATTCATTATAGGCTTTCAGATTGGGAAAACTGCAAGCCTTGGAACAAAAAGCCCTAAAACCGAAACCCTATAACTCCCATAAAAAACATTACCACCCCTAAACCAAAAAAAACTAAGCCCTAAATGTCAGCCCAAAATCCCAAACCCTCAGCCTTAGACTTCCAGCTTTGGCACCCATGAGACCAGGGATTTCGAACAAGCGCATCACTAAACCGTGAAGCTTTGTTTAGACCCCAACCACGTCTGAACACAACAAGAACCTATAAAAGCATACTGACATACAAGCCATATACAGCAACTTTAGGCCTCAACCAAACTCCATGACGGAAATATACAGTACTATGCCCCAACCTCCGTGAATTTCCAGCTTCCCCTCTGTATCCTGGCTCAAAGCTTCCGTCCGCCCAGCAGGCTCCCCGCGATCGCGCGGGCAATCTCCATGGCACTGAGCTCGCGGCAGTCCTTGAGTTCGTGCCCAGAGACTCCAATATCCCTTAATTAAGGAATATACCTTAAATCATACTAGGGATCCTACTATAGTTGAAGGTATATTCCTTAATTAAGGGATATTGGAGTCTGTGGGTGGGGATGTTGGGAGTTGTCGGGCTCAGGGGTGTAATGTTGAGGGTTGAAGGTTCAGGGGCTTAGGGGTTTAATGTTTAGGGCTGAAGCTTTAGGGATTTAAGTTGGTGTTATTACGGGGCCAGACCTACAAGTACACGTCTCGGTGCACTTGCAGGGTGCCTGGAGTTCGGAGGGACCAGGAGAGACCCCTTAGTATACCACATGGGCAGTTCTCTAAGCTAGGGTCCTCTTTAAGATACACTTAGTTATCATGTAAAAGCTTGTAAACTCGTGACCGGCAACCGCTTTCGAGGTTGGATTTTGTGCCGGATAAAAGCTTTATATACATCTATGGGTGTGAAGTCGATTAAGAAGAGTGAGAAAGAGTATCTCCCGAACATCCAGGCGTCGATGTATGCAATGGCAGGGCGCATCGCCATTTGAATCAAATCCAAAGCATCGCCGTCCTTGTCGAACTCGTGCTCTGTTCCGCAGGGTGGCTTTGGTGGGTAGACTTCTTCCATCCTTAATGGCAGCAGATCCAGTCCGTAGTCCTGGGCATATCGTAGCTCGTGGTAAGAACTGAAGGTGGAGCTCGTCTTCTCGCCATAGTGCCAAGTACAAACAGAGATTACGACCCCACGCTTCATGCGCGTCTGGTTCAAGAATTTCATTGTCTTCGTCCCAAAATCATCGCCGCCCACGGCTTCCACCATGAGTACATTGAAGTTGTGGTCCTTGGTTGGCCGAACTCAATGAATCAACTTCTATGCTGCTGTATTGACGGCTGGCATTTTTCAGCCTCTAACTAACCTCTCAGTCATCAACATACTATGAATGGAAACACGCTGCCAGCCGAGAAAAAGACCGCGAGACACACACACACACACAGTCACTCACTCACTCACTCACTCACTCACTCAGACAGACAGACAGACAGACAGACAGACAGACAGACAGACAGACAGACAGACAGACAGACAGACAGACACACACACACACAGCCAGACACACGCACACACACACACACACACACACACACAACGTACACACAAACCCTGGTCCGCATAGCCTCACATCACAAGGTTTAAGGTTTAGGTTGACACAGCTAAGTTTGAATTCAATAGAAACTACTTCAAAAAGCCAACGGCTGTCAGCATTATCATAAGCTCGTGCCTTCAAGATCTTGTACACCCGTCGGATCTTGACTTCCACCTGAGCCAACATGGGAGTTTCCGAAAATAGGAGACCCAAATATAGTAACCTATATAAGAGGATCCTTATTATAAGGACCCCAAATTAAGGTACCCCTATTTTCGGAAACTCCCACATGAACACCGGCATCTTAGACAGTACTCCGACTAACGGGGTCTTAGGTTTAGGGCTTATAGGGTTCCGTTCAGAAAGAAGCCCTTAGTTGCTGAATTCATAAGCCTCCCAAAAGTGTTCACTTTCAGATTTATAGTGGCTAGTATTATCCCAAAAAGTGTAAAGTGCATCCACTCAGCTACTAAGAGCCAGATGAATGTCGGTCCTGCCATCCCAAAAACCGAAAGCCCAAAACCCAGCCGAGACTTGCGACCTAGCCGCCTCCTTACCATCAAACCTTGCAGAGAACATCCCCAGCCGGGAGCGGGTACCATCCGGAAATGCCTGGCTGCAGGCGCTTCGACCACAGTGGCTAGGACTTTTGGAGTGCATCTGGCTTTATTGTGTGTCAAGAATTATTTGAGTTGGGGGCTTTCAAGATTCTGCGTGAACTTCGCTTCCAGCTTCGAGGATTGACAGGGCCTATGTTCGTATGGTGGATTAAGAGTAGAGTGCTGAATGCTTCCGTGTGTGCGCTGACGGATCACCCCTGCTTAAAGGGGAGGGGGGGTTCAAAAGTGAAAGCTGCGCTTAAAGACGTCCCCCCCCCCGTCCTCCAGCTGGAGGTGGTCAGAGCTCACCCATGCGTGGTCGCCGCTGGGCAGTTCCACTTTCACCAGGCCATCGCTAGCGGTCTCCAGCCGGCGCACAGCTGTGCCGCTCGGCAAGTCGAGGCCGTCAGCGCCAGCTCCAACGAGAAGAAGAGCACGAGGCGCCTACAGATCCAAAGTGAAGGCAGAAAAGCGCAGAATCTGACCTACGTCCCTCACAACCTTCAGTTATTTCGGAAGGGGGATGCTGACGGCAAACCTGTGCCTGTGCTTTAGAGGTGTGCAGGCTCTGTGTGTGTGTGTGCGCTGGTTTACGGTGACTTCAGCAAATATCTCGGACCACAGCATTGCATCGTTGTAGTTCAAGCATGACCAGAAGCTGTTTCATCAAGTCTGCCATGCTTTCTTCCGTCGAACGGGAACAAAGAACTGCACGTTTGCCATGTACCCCTCATTGAAATTCAAGGCTCCGCCTACAGCCAAACATGTCCAGCACGACGAGCTGATTCCCTTGAAACCCTACAGCTCCAAAACCAAAACATGCTGAAATTCAAGCCCTCCGTCATGGCTCCTACAGGACATGACCCGAGACCTTCAGTACTCTCGAAGCAGTCTTTGTGTAAACGGCACTGCACAGCAGCCCCTGGGTCCCCCGTCGGAGCCTCTGCTGTCTTCTCAGAGGCAGCGTTGGTAGGGCTTTCGGCCGCATCCTTCAGGTATGGCGACATAGATAGGGCTCGTGAGCTTCAAGGCTGACTGTTGGGGCTTGCTTTGGGGTTCAGGGTTTAGGGTTTTGGCGTTTAGGGGTTTAGACTTTCGGGATTAGGGTTTAGGGTTTGGGACGCCAGGCTTCAACTACTCCGAAAGCCGAAGCTGGAGTCAACAACACGAAGGATCTCCATTTTTCAACAAAAAACGCAGTACCGTTGTAGTCGGGCATTTTTGGCTCCGAGCGCAGAACCGATCCACCAAGACATCTCTTGAACGCTTGACCTCCAAGATTCGGAACATTCCAAACCAAAGTCAAACCCCGCGAGATAACAAGCGTTCTCCATCCATTAGCTCTCTTCCAATCCCCCAAGTCCAGAGCCATCCCCAATGCCAGCTCCAGGGCTTTCAAAATCCTGCATGCGGAGCAAAACACGGCCAGCGTCCTGTTTGAGGCTCGTTGTCTCTGCTGGGCGCGACTTGCTGGGCCTGGACCATGAAATCTCGAGTGAGGGGTCTTGGTGGCTCCGTAGGCGTTGGACTGGAACATGCCGCAGGACTGTGAATGCTCTCCCGACCCTCTGCGCATTGCAGTCAACCAAGTCCGAAATCCTGCTCCGCATTGTCTCGTAGATGCTGAAATCCTGTTTGCCAAGGTCGCTGGCTCAACACGGTTGTATAACATGCCTGAAATATATTGCAGTATTGCACACGTGAAGACAGACAACAAACACAGCGAAAGCTTAACTACATGGGTAGTTTTCAAAATAGACGTCCCTTTTTGGGACACCGTAAATATTAGGTCATTAGAAGCCGTAGTGTATTAGGGACCCAGAAAGGGACCGCAATTTTAACAACCACTCACATAACAACCTGAAAACCCGATACCCGAACACCCGCAATTCCTCAACCCTGCAACCTGCAACATCCAAACCCCAAACCCCAACCCTCTAAACCCTGAGCCCGACAAGGCCCAAACCATACCATACTACCTACTATCTGGGCCTGAATGATTAGAACTGGATTTTGGGATTCTTTGTAGTACCTAAACCACCCAAAGTAGGCAAAATAATGGCCCAATACCCATATAAGGCTATTATTCTATCTACTTTTGGGGTCCAGGTATTCGCTCTGCCCAAGGATTCGAGGCGCTGGCAGGACCGCCTCAGACCTTGACTCTTCAAGGGTTAAGGTAAAACCCAGAAAGTTGGAATATCGTTGTCGTAACCCCTTTAATGTAAATTACAGGGGATCCTACCATTAATCCATATTTCAACTTTCTGGAGTTCCTTTTAAGGACGGGGTATGGAGGAGCCCGTTAATGTTAACAATCAGAGCAGCTTGTTGGGATATAGTCTGGTGTAATTATACTCTCTCCTCCAATAACCAGGCCCAAAAACAGTTCAAACTTTTTAGGATAGGCCAAATAGGTACAGCCAAGAAGTTTAAAGTTCTGCAATTGGCTAAGTTAGTATAGGGAATCCAAAAAACGGAAGTAAGGATTGAATACTCAGCCATCCATATGTAGATCTGAAGGTTCAGAATATCAAGGGTATACCTTTTGATTACAACTCAGGATCCTGGATTTAGGGCTTAAGTTTAAATTAAAGGCCTCCTGTTGTCTGAAAGTCCCAGCTTTTCAAAAAAGACACAGGTGTAAGGATCTACTGGAGAAAGGCTTAGCGTTTGTTTTTGCAGGGCCTCTGCATGTGAGTCACATTGAGAGCTTTTGATCTTCAAGTGTATACAGGGACCTCTAGTATAGGGCCGTAATAATTGGAGCAGGGTTTTTGAGACCTATCATCCCTGTATTAATATATAGGAAATCGGAGGATCATTTTGGTACTTGTGCAGTCTTCTAAGTATACCCACTATCTTCCTCTACGCTTTGAAAACAAGCTCCAAGCCCGAAGATCATATCTAACTAAGCTTTGGGGTAGAGTTTCGGGGTTCAGGCGTTTAAAGGCTTACGGTTCCGGGGGTTTGAGGTAGCACCCAGCACCGAAGGACCCATCCCGAAAAGCTGATCTCTTTGCTGGGGTGAGCGCTGGCTCGCAGAAAGCCCGGCAGCATCCGCAGAGTCCTGACTGGGGGAGGCTCAGGAGTCGTTGAAGCTTAATTCAGATGGCGGGGGGAGGGGGGGGGAAGCCCAGTCTGTCCAGTTTGAAAGCGGACAATCTTCAGTTGTTGGCATACATTTCGTCCCCAAGCCCTCCGAATCTAGCTTCTCAAGCTTATAGGGTTCCGTTCAGAAAGAAGCCCTTAGTTGCTGAATTCATAAGCCTCCCAAAAAGTGTTCACTTTCAGATTTATAGTGGCTAGTATTATCCCAAAAAGTGTAAAGTGCATCCACTCAGCTACTAAGAGCCAGATGAATGTCGGTCCTGCCATCCCAAAAACCGAAAGCCCAAAACCCAGCCGAGACTTGCGACCTAGCCGCCTCCTTACCATCAAACCTTGCAGAGAACATCCCCAGCCGGGAGCGGGTACCATCCGGAAATGCCTGGCTGCAGGCGCTTCGACCACAGTGGCTAGGACTTTTGGAGTGCATCTGGCTTTATTGTGTGTCAAGAATTATTTGAGTTGGGGGCTTTCAAGATTCTGCGTGAACTTCGCTTCCAGCTTCGAGGATTGACAGGGCCTATGTTCGTATGGTGGATTAAGAGTAGAGTGCTGAATGCTTCCGTGTGTGCGCTGACGGATCACCCCTGCTTAAAGGGGAGGGGGGGTTCAAAAGTGAAAGCTGCGCTTAAAGACGTCCCCCCCCCCGTCCTCCAGCTGGAGGTGGTCAGAGCTCACCCATGCGTGGTCGCCGCTGGGCAGTTCCACTTTCACCAGGCCATCGCTAGCGGTCTCCAGCCGGCGCACAGCTGTGCCGCTCGGCAAGTCGAGGCCGTCAGCGCCAGCTCCAACGAGAAGAAGAGCACGAGGCGCCTACAGATCCAAAGTGAAGGCAGAAAAGCGCAGAATCTGACCTACGTCCCTCACAACCTTCAGTTATTTCGGAAGGGGGATGCTGACGGCAAACCTGTGCCTGTGCTTTAGAGGTGTGCAGGCTCTGTGTGTGTGTGTGCGCTGGTTTACGGTGACTTCAGCAAATATCTCGGACCACAGCATTGCATCGTTGTAGTTCAAGCATGACCAGAAGCTGTTTCATCAAGTCTGCCATGCTTTCTTCCGTCGAACGGGAACAAAGAACTGCACGTTTGCCATGTACCCCTCATTGAAATTCAAGGCTCCGCCTACAGCCAAACATGTCCAGCACGACGAGCTGATTCCCTTGAAACCCTACAGCTCCAAAACCAAAACATGCTGAAATTCAAGCCCTCCGTCATGGCTCCTACAGGACATGACCCGAGACCTTCAGTACTCTCGAAGCAGTCTTTGTGTAAACGGCACTGCACAGCAGCCCCTGGGTCCCCCGTCGGAGCCTCTGCTGTCTTCTCAGAGGCAGCGTTGGTAGGGCTTTCGGCCGCATCCTTCAGGTATGGCGACATAGATAGGGCTCGTGAGCTTCAAGGCTGACTGTTGGGGCTTGCTTTGGGGTTCAGGGTTTAGGGTTTTGGCGTTTAGGGGTTTAGACTTTCGGGATTAGGGTTTAGGGTTTGGGACGCCAGGCTTCAACTACTCCGAAAGCCGAAGCTGGAGTCAACAACACGAAGGATCTCCATTTTTCAACAAAAAACGCAGTACCGTTGTAGTCGGGCATTTTTGGCTCCGAGCGCAGAACCGATCCACCAAGACATCTCTTGAACGCTTGACCTCCAAGATTCGGAACATTCCAAACCAAAGTCAAACCCCGCGAGATAACAAGCGTTCTCCATCCATTAGCTCTCTTCCAATCCCCCAAGTCCAGAGCCATCCCCAATGCCAGCTCCAGGGCTTTCAAAATCCTGCATGCGGAGCAAAACACGGCCAGCGTCCTGTTTGAGGCTCGTTGTCTCTGCTGGGCGCGACTTGCTGGGCCTGGACCATGAAATCTCGAGTGAGGGGTCTTGGTGGCTCCGTAGGCGTTGGACTGGAACATGACGCAGGACTGTGAATGCTCTCCCGACCCTCTGCGCATTGCAGTCAACCAAGTCCGAAATCCTGCTCCGCATTGTCTCGTAGATGCTGAAATCCTGTTTGCCAAGGTCGCTGGCTCAACACGGTTGTATAACATGCCTGAAATATATTGCAGTATTGCACACGTGAAGACAGACAACAAACACAGCGAAAGCTTAACTACATGGGTAGTTTTCAAAATAGACGTCCCTTTTTGGGACACCGTAAATATTAGGTCATTAGAAGCCGTAGTGTATTAGGGACCCAGAAAGGGACCGCAATTTTAACAACCACTCACATAACAACCTGAAAACCCGATACCCGAACACCCGCAATTCCTCAACCCTGCAACCTGCAACATCCAAACCCCAAACCCCAACCCTCTAAACCCTGAGCCCGACAAGGCCCAAACCATACCATACTACCTACTATCTGGGCCTGAATGATTAGAACTGGATTTTGGGATTCTTTGTAGTACCTAAACCACCCAAAGTAGGCAAAATAATGGCCCAATACCCATATAAGGCTATTATTCTATCTACTTTTGGGGTCCAGGTATTCGCTCTGCCCAAGGATTCGAGGCGCTGGCAGGACCGCCTCAGACCTTGACTCTTCAAGGGTTAAGGTAAAACCCAGAAAGTTGGAATATCGTTGTCGTAACCCCTTTAATGTAAATTACAGGGGATCCTACCATTAATCCATATTTCAACTTTCTGGAGTTCCTTTTAAGGACGGGGTATGGAGGAGCCCGTTAATGTTAACAATCAGAGCAGCTTGTTGGGATATAGTCTGGTGTAATTATACTCTCTCCTCCAATAACCAGGCCCAAAAACAGTTCAAACTTTTTAGGATAGGCCAAATAGGTACAGCCAAGAAGTTTAAAGTTCTGCAATTGGCTAAGTTAGTATAGGGAATCCAAAAAACGGAAGTAAGGATTGAATACTCAGCCATCCATATGTAGATCTGAAGGTTCAGAATATCAAGGGTATACCTTTTGATTACAACTCAGGATCCTGGATTTAGGGCTTAAGTTTAAATTAAAGGCCTCCTGTTGTCTGAAAGTCCCAGCTTTTCAAAAAAGACACAGGTGTAAGGATCTACTGGAGAAAGGCTTAGCGTTTGTTTTTGCAGGGCCTCTGCATGTGAGTCACATTGAGAGCTTTTGATCTTCAAGTGTATACAGGGACCTCTAGTATAGGGCCGTAATAATTGGAGCAGGGTTTTTGAGACCTATCATCCCTGTATTAATATATAGGAAATCGGAGGATCATTTTGGTACTTGTGCAGTCTTCTAAGTATACCCACTATCTTCCTCTACGCTTTGAAAACAAGCTCCAAGCCCGAAGATCATATCTAACTAAGCTTTGGGGTAGAGTTTCGGGGTTCAGGCGTTTAAAGGCTTACGGTTCCGGGGGTTTGAGGTAGCACCCAGCACCGAAGGACCCATCCCGAAAAGCTGATCTCTTTGCTGGGGTGAGCGCTGGCTCGCAGAAAGCCCGGCAGCATCCGCAGAGTCCTGACTGGGGGAGGCTCAGGAGTCGTTGAAGCTTAATTCAGATGGCGGGGGGAGGGGGGGGGAAGCCCAGTCTGTCCAGTTTGAAAGCGGACAATCTTCAGTTGTTGGCATACATTTCGTCCCCAAGCCCTCCGAATCTAGCTTCTCAAGCTCCACTGGCCTCTTTTGCAGGCCTGGCAGCCGAGCTCGACGAGGGTCGCATCTTCTCTGGCTTTCCTGACGCCTCTAACTCGCACGAACCCGGAGCGACTGATTCGGATTAAAGTTTTTAGTTGAATTTATCTATGCTTAATTTCGGCTCATTAGCAGTGTTCCCCGACCTCATCACGGATATCCTAAACCCTAAACCCTTAAACCCTAAACCCTAAACACTTAAACCCTTAAACCCTAAACCCTAAACACCCCTCAAGCTTCGGCATCTGGGCAGAAAACCATCTCTCCTGAAGCTGAGGTTTCGGTCTAGACTCCAGATTCACGCAGTCAGAAGAAGGATGACCTAAACCACCCAAAGTAGGCCAAATCATGGCCCAATATACCCATATAAGGCTATTATTCTACCTATTTGTTGGGGTCCAGGCAATCTGCCCCCGAGTCTTTCAAAACCTCGTATGTAAACGGCATCCTGCCTGCTTAGCAGCTTGTCCGGATGAGTCTTTGCCGGCCGACAGCTCCTGCGACGACTCTCGGAATCGAGTACTGAAATTGCGACGACTCTCGGAATCGAGCAGTGGCCACCAGAAACCTCCGAAATCGCGGCCTCGAAACACATGTGCCCTTCAGAAACAAGTGACCCTGTTCCCGATATCAGTGATGAAGCTGAAGCACCGATATTCAATTCAGACCCCCCTGCAATGCCCAACCCTACCTTAACCCGGAATAACCTACCTTTTTAAGGACTTATATAAGGAAATCAGAATAAGGAACCCTAAAAAAGTAGGTTATTCCGGGTTAAGGTACACCCTAAAACCTAAACCCAAAGCTCAGGGAGTCAACTGTGAACTGCGGCTCTCCTCTCGCAGTGCCGCCAGCTGCCTTCTGTAGCTTGCATTCGTTGGCTCCAATTTGAAGGCCTCGTCGATTTCGCACGGCCGGTTCGTTCGCTTTTGAGTGCTTCGGGCTTACAGCCTGCAGCTGTCCTTCAACTACGGAAGAGCCTCAGGAGTCTGCAGGGTTTGCAGGTTATTCGCAGATGAAGCTTGCCTCACTGAAGCAAATCTCCGCGGCCGCGAGGCTTTTCAGCTTGTCGCGGTAGAGGGCTCCTAAGGCGACCTGCTTGGAGGATCATGGGACTTAGTAAGTAAGGTTATAAGTACCTTAATTGGGGTTATAAGTATAGTTACCCTAATTATAACCCTAGTTACTAAGTCCCATGATCCTTTAAGTGGCTTTTGGCGAGAACCTAAGACGCCTTACAGCACAGCTGTCTTTGTCAAATGATCTGGTGCCGGTGTGCTGTCAGCCGCATATCTAAACAACACTGTGTGAGATTCAGCACAATCTGCTCCTCGATACTCTATATGTGCTGCGCATTTGACGGGGCTGCCACGGGCAGTGTCAACCGAAGCCGTCAGGGTGCTGAATTGCTCTTGAGTGCACCGGCAACCTCAACTCCGCACATCCGAAACCCTACAGCTCAACCGTGCAGGCCCACCTGGTATTTAGCGCTCGTCGGCTGCAGGCGCACTGCCTCACTGAACCAGTGCTCTGCCTTTCGATGCCTTTCGTTCTTCTTGTGGTTCTGGCCCACATGGAATGCCTTGCCAGGGCGGAGTTCAGGTAAGAAGAGGGTTTCGTGGGGACATCGTTCTACATGCAGCGGTGGTTCAGGGTTTTTGGTGAAGCATTCAACGGATGCATGGCCAAAGATTTGACTACATCCATCGTGCTTTGAGACAAGGTACCTGTCTGAAGGACCTCACTCAAGCGCAAGAGCGACCCAGCACCACATCTACAAGCCCTACATTGTAGAAACGTAGAGCTCGGGCCCCTTGTTCCAAAACTTCAGGACTCCCATGCGAAGATGGTTTTGACCAACCATGTCCTCGACTCAAACTCTTCACAGTTGAACCCTATCTTACCGACCAAGTTAATGTTTAGTCACGTCGCTTTCGCGAGGAATGACACATCCGAGGTACATGCTGAATGGAAAAAGAATAGCAGACAGAGACTTCCAAAAGGAAAACATCTACTACGTATACCTACTTCGTGTGGGCCTTCGCGGCCTGCTTGGCAGCCTTGGCATCTGAATCTGCCTCCTTGGCCGATGAGTCGACCTCTGTCGCCCCGGCTTCCTTGCCCGTCTTCGCAGGGCTCGCCTGTGCGTTGAGCTGGATTCCTGTTGAAGAACCTTTATAACTGATTATAAGTTGCCACATAAGGAAACCAAGATATCCAGAACCCAGTCAGTTTAGTGTTGCCGGGTCAGTCTTGTCTTCAAGTGAAACTCGAACCCTTCCTGTTGCATGTTCTGACGTGAAACTGCACATGCCTGTGTCCTGCGGTTGTAACATCGAGTATGTATGTGTAGAACCATAGAGCCAACAGTTCGACGTCACACGAGCGAGCACTCTGCCAGGGGAACAGAAACGGTTTCCGTCCGTCAGTCTGTCTGTCTCTGTCTCTGTCCTCATGTATGTCTACCAAAACTGCGATAAGCACAGTAAATCATCCGGGTGCTTGTCCTGTTTCATAACATGTGTAGCATGCGGCAAAATGGAGTCTCTGGGAAGGAGGTTGGGTCTCAGGTCTCAGTCCAAATACAGAGGTCTTCATCATTAGAATATAGGGTTGTGGGTTATATTGTCCTAAACTCCTAAACGTACAATAAGGAGGCCTATCAGGAATTGTATTCCTAAGTAAGTGTTCAAGTTCAAGCTCATACATTAGCTACATGATATGTCGGAGGTAGGTGATTGCAGGGCTACAAGGTTTACAGCACTGGAATATCACAGCAACGAAGTAGCCCAGACCCTCATGGTCACAGCAACTGGGCTGCATCGAGCAAGGACGAAGTGTACCGACCACAAATCATGTTGCAATGGCATGTGGAGGTCGGCATGCTGCCTCGTAGATTCATGTTCCCTACGGAAAGAGTGACTTGTACATTGGCGATGAGGCAAGGAAGGCACCCACAAGAATCAGGATCCCGCCGCAAGTGGAGTCCGTATGACTGCAGGGATTCGGGGATCGGCTGTGGCTCTGCGTAGCTTTCCGCCTTCTCCTGGGCTTCCCGTGGCAAGTCTCCTCGCTTCCCAAGGTCCTTGCAGATGAAAGCAGCAGCAATAGACATGCAAGGTTCATTATTCAGCACCTTTGCCGATGCTCCTGGCGCAGTTTCGCCAGCTTTGCCCGGTACTCCACATTCGAAGACTTCAATCGGAAAGCCTCCTCGAAGCATTTCTCTGCAGCCTCCAAACTCTTCTTGTAGTCTCGGTAAAAATCGCCCAAGTCGGCATGGCGCCTGGAATTCTTCGGCTGCAAGCGGCGAGCCTCGCAAAGAGACGCCTCGGCCTCGTCGCCTTTGCCGAGCTCGCGCTGCGTTTGCCCCAGAAGTTTGAAGAGGTCCGCGTCGCCCGGATCCAAGCGCACGGCCCCCAGGAAGGCTTCCTGGGCACCGGCCCAGTCCTTGAGATCCTGGGTTCTTGTTTAGGGGTTTATATATATATATATATATATAATGCCATCAGGAAACCATATATTATTTACTATAGCTCCCTATCGTGGTAACTTAAACCTGAACCCCTAAACCCAAACTATAGATCCCTTAACGGAAGCCTTACAGATCCCTATTATGGCAACTTAACTTAAATGAGAATCCTTGACAAGAGCCCAGGATCTCTCCTGGCCTTCCCCAGCTTCCGATGCAATGCCGCTCTCTCGACTTCTTTCAGCTCCGTCGTCGCGGCTTTCACCGCTTGCAGGGCCTCCTCCAGGGCCTTTTCCTGCACCAAAAACGGATAAGGTATACATTAGGTACGGCCCCCACTCAGTAACAGTTGAAGAGTATTCATGATATAGATATATTAGGACCTTAATAGTAGCCCTATTATAGACTCTTACTGTATTTGTGCCGCACCCAAGGTATACAGTGCTTCCCAGGAGGAATATGATAATGGAGAAAGACTTCTTGGACAAATGCCGTCCATGATCTGTCCCCTGTTAGAGAGTGCTTAGATCCACAAACATCGTAACTAGTTTTCTCCCCTTGCACCCCCAAAAACCTTCTCAAACTCCCATCGTTTACCTCAGCAGTCACTGCAACAATGCTTGCTTTGTGTGTGTGCGCGTGTCAGTGTGTGCGCGTGTGACACAGCAAACTTATGAAGCATCGATAGGAATTTATAGAAACTGCATATTCGGCCTTCTTGGCCTTGGCTTCACCTGCTGATTCCTGGGACAGGCCTTCGTCTTCGTTCTCGCCTTGCGAAGCTTCTGGCTAAAGAGGATCTGCAGGTTTCAGCTTGGGGTTTTTGGGGTTCAAGGCATGACAGGCTGCAGGGCAACGCCCGAACCCTCCCATCCCCCCCCCGGTGGACCTGCAACCGACTCCTCCTCATCCGAGTCTTGAAAATCCTCATAGACTGATGCACAGCTGCTATAAGTCCACATGCAGCCGAACTGATTCGTGACAGTGCAGAGGCTGTTGTGCATCGGAGTGGTGATGGTTGTAGAGGCAAGTTGGGCAGGGGAGCTGCAGGACGTGATCGCAGGAAGTAGCGCAAAAGATGGGTCATGCAGTGAAGCGCAGCTGGCACTGGGAGTACTCACCAAGATACCTCAGCTCGTAAGAAGAATGACAGGGACCGCTACTGTATAAACACATCCTGAAAAGCTGAATATTCGAATATCCAACTACTATAACAGACGACAGCTTTGTGGAACAACCTCTAGTGTGCTCCTCGAAGTCATCCGCATAGTCTTCGTCTTCAGGGTCATCATCATCGTACGGGTCCTCTTCGAGAAATGACAGGTCGCGAAAGGACACCATACACCGGGTTCCAAGGCAGGCCGACGAACATTATTGAATCCGATATGGTCAGGTACTATAGGACTTGGGTACGGCCCCCATACAGTAAGAGTCTATAATAGGGCTACTATTAAGGTCCTAATATGTCGACCTATATTATGAATATTATTCAACTATTACTCAGTGGGGGGCCGTACCTAATATAGGACCAACAGACTAACAAGAAACACGGCAAGAACAACAACAGCAGCAACAGCCACAGCAACGGTAACGGCAACGACAGCAACAGCAACCAAACGACTGTCAAGACAAATCCAACGGCAACAGCAACAACAACAACAACAAGGTAGCACGTGCGTCTGCCGCCGCGCGGGGTGAGTCGTCTATTTTTGGGAGGTTTTGTTGGTCGAAAGCTTGAAAACCCTGTGTTGTTCGTGGTACTCGTCCGTTTCGGTGTTTTCGTGTTACATTGTTTTTGTTCTTGTGTTTTGGTAACGCTCTTGCGAAAGTGTCGCAAATACCATGTTTTTCGTCTTTGTTTTTTAATTTTAAGGTCAGTTGCGAAGTTTTTGTCGGGAAAGCATCAAAATCTAGAGGTTTTTGCATGGTTGACGTTTCAAAAGTGAAGCAACAAGAAGCGGCAACAAGGGCTTCACAGAGCAACCGGCAGCGTTTGAGAAGTAAGGCAACGAAAGAAACAGAAGACACAAGCCACATTCGCACGCGTCATCATTTCCCCCCACCCCCGCACAGAGCTGAAAGACACGTGCAAGTCGAAGCCGGCATGTGCAGAAAGTCGACAGTCAGCAAAAACACTGTCAAAAAACAATGCGTAATGCGACCCACACACGAAAACACCGGAGAAAACGCTGCAAAATGAAGAGCTGAGCATGTGTTTGCACAGTGCAGCCCACCGGTTGTTGCATTTTGTGCTAGATAACACAGCAAAAAAAACGGTGCGAAAACAAAATGCAAGTTCAATTTCGGGCGAGCAAAGTGCCAAAACTCGAGTTTCAGCACATGCCAGCAAAGAAATCGCATCACCCCTCGCGGCGGCAGAAGCACGTGCAACAACACCACCACCAACAACACCAACAACAACGATTTCCAACACATTTACAAACACAACAATGAGAAATGAAGAACAACAGGAAAACGAATGCCAACCACAAGACCAACAACACAAACTGGATGTGATGGTGGCGACGAGGACTAGGCGGGACTGATAGGCAGTGAGATTGAGGAACCATCGGGATCTTGTACGCACTCAGACCGGTGACCACGGCCACCGAAAGGACTCCCTTGCAGCTTCTCCTGCTCCGGCGACAGGGCTGGCTCAGGACGCGGATCCTTCCAAAAATCGAACTTCAGTTTAAGGTTTCGGGTCTCAGGGATGTTTCGGGTTTAGCACCAATACCAATATATTTCTTCGGTGCGCGAACCTTCCGAATTTCTCATCAACTAAAGCCCCTTCAACTGTGATGTTGCGACTCAGGTAAAGCTACCTGATGTTAGGCAGACACACACGGCCGCCCATGCTGGCGAGATCATGACGTCACCTCTTCGAAATCAGCAGTTCCGGATGATCAGCCAAATTGTGGCTCTGTGAGTTCTGTGGCACGGGAGCCTACCAACCTTCAACAGCAGCCTGCACCACCCGACTCAAGGACCATACACCCAAAGGCTCCATGTACCCATATAGTAGGTACTTAAGCCTTAAATTAGCCATATAGGGGACCCCTTTAAGGCCTATAAGTACCTACTATATGGGTACATAGAGCCTTAGGGACACCTGTAGAGGCTTGTTCCAACTTCACGCATGCCGAAACGCAGAAGGAGAGCGGACTGTTGCCGGCGGATGCGTTCGCGTTCTTATAGGCGTCTGACCTTTCTGGCGAATTCCTGGCTATATACTTAAAACCCCAAACCCCAAACCATATACCCGAAACCCTAAACCCCAAACTATATTACCCTGAATCCTATTACTTACCAGAAACCCTAAACCCCAAACCCTAAACCCTATTCTTACCAAAGCCTCGGCGCTTCACTCTGGCAAAGAACCCCTCGAGCACAAGAATATTCCACGATCCTCAACCCCAACAGCCCTCCCCGGTTTAGGGTTTATAGGGTTTAATATGAGGGCCTTAATAATTAGAGTAAGTTTTAGCGAATATCAGACTAAGCTATAAGTACAATAAGGAACCCCACAATAGTATAGGGAATTGCTTTGGCCCTGTATTAAATAGGTTTTGGGATCACCTGCAACCCTCATAGCTTTTTTGCGCTTCCCCACTGTTTTCAACAAACCGGCCCGACCTCCGCAGCTTTTGCATCACTCATGTCCTGCCCTTCTGTCATGGCACTCTCGATGTCCGGTGCCGACGACATGCTGTTCGATTCGTGGGTAGCGATAGAATGAATCTGGCAGGCAGGCGGCTAGACATAACAAAAACAAAAATTTGATGCAGAAGGCCCCAAGCCAAGACAAACATGCCAATGTTTTGCGCTGGCACGCACCGACTGTGGATAAGCTTACACCTGCCCCCTTCGGGAACTGTCCACAACCCGACTCGAACGAAGAACTCTCCGCGTGACAAGGCCGAATTTTTGCCGCACACGGAAACAACGCTCTCTGCTGCAGCAGTACCCGAAATCGACCAGCGTGCGTTCGAGTGCGGATCGAGCACACCGAGAGATCTGTTGTAAATCGAAAGGTGCTTCAGACTGACTTCAAGCTGACACAAACATACAAACAGTACACGTCGGCTTGAACAACTTACCGGGCACGCATTTCAGTACAAGGTTCGGTTGCAGCGGCACACGCACCGGCACGTTTTCAACATAAATGGTCCCTGTGATGCCAGTATCCGTACTATACTGGGGAAGTCATGACAACACGCTTCATGCCTCTTTATGTATGGCCGTCGCATTTCAGAATCGGGAAGCCGTGAATATACACATGATCCAATAGCTATGTGGCTGTTGCTGGGGGTGCACCTGGTGGCCATACCTGCTCATAACCACGACGCTTTCTCGTCAGCGTACATGATCACGCTCGTAACTATATGTGCACCTGCATACACGGCGCTGCAAATGGAATGAACCTGTTTCGTCTGCATGGTATAGTTTCGGTCATTGCATTACCTGTGGAAGGCCGCTGATTCTGGATGTGCAGACAAGGACCCAATTCGGATCTCATACTAAACAGCTGGAGGGTCCAGAAATGTTGGCTCCCACCTGCCTCCTTCAAGGACCCTTCCGAAATCCTCTCTTAGACATTTATCCGGCTCTCCTTGCGCACTGCTGCAAGAGCAGCCTTGCAGCCTTCGTCGGCTTTCAAGCTGATGGCTTTTTCCAGGGAGGCCTCCGCCTCTCGGAGTTTCCCAAGCTTGTGCTTCGTCTGTCCCAGCGCGTAGTGGGCGGTCGGGTCGTTGGGCTCCAACAAGGAGGCTCTTTCAAAGGCCTCCGCGGCACCTTCGAAATCCTGCACTCGGATGAATGCGGCACCAAGTTGAAGCTGGGCAAGCGAGTTGTCGGGGTTAGAGACCACCTTTTCCAAGGCATGGTGCAGCTCTGCTTGTTGCTTTGCATCTGGCACCTGCCAAAGCGGTTCGGTCGCTCTCTGGTTTGAGGGCTAGCTGAGCGAGGTCTGTCGAGAAACCTGGGGCTTCCGGGCCAATTTCGGGGGCGTCTCAGCAAAGACTGCGTTTCACTGCATCTGTCATGATTTTCCAGCACTTTGTTGCTACCCATGTTGCAAACTGACTCAGCCGTCTCACATGACAACCAGTGCTCACCACAGAAGAACTGCCAATCAACCTTCGCTTCTGACGATGTGGAACTCTCCGGTTGAAATAATACATGCGCAGCAAAAATGTCAACAACATCAACAATACCAAATGCACTAATACCTTAAGCCGCAGTGTCCATCTCTATCTGTATCCTATCTCCCTCTCTCGTCTTATTACCTGAGACCTATCCACATATCTACCTGTCTAAGTATCCAACTCCTATCTGGCGACCTTTGTGCCTATCTATCGTTCCGTTTGTTATCTGTCTATTTACCTACTTGTCTACCTACCTACTGCTTGTCTATCCTCTACCGACCTCACCCACCGTACTAACCGTCACTGATCTACTTGTGTGCCAACCATCCTAGAATCTAAATCTACATCTCTGTCTCTAGTTACATCTGTATCGACGTTTATGTGCACATGTGTGTACATATTATTTATACATACACCCCTATCTCTCATGCAATCGAAGTCTAGCTATCCTCCTACACTATCTTCCAAGTCTATCTACACTGTGCAGTGCCTTCTCCGCGGCTTCGGACGAGCTCCCGGCTTTGCCGCTGTCCTGCCCCACTGAGCTGGATAAGCCGAAATCTTACCTTTGGTTTGTAGGGAACGGAGGAATATGATACAACTCTGACTACTACTACTACCATATTATTACCATATTACTATCATATTGCTATCATATTTTCTATCATATTACTACCATTATAACTACTATTACTACCATTCTTCCATTCCCTACTAGCCAAAGGCAAGAAAATCAACAGCCTGCGGCTGCCAAGTCCTGTATCCGACAAGACTACGACTTCACTTTTATTGCCCAAAGGGTGTTACGTATGGATGTGGAGGATACTTTCCCAAATCATCATGGTATTTCCTAATACAGAAATCCTACATTCTACTATATAGGTACTTTGGACCCTTTGGGCTGCACTCCAATCAAGGCCATGAACTCGCTGCAAGGATTCGCAATCCCTTCTTGTGGCACTCTCGGGTTCTCTTAGCTCAATCTTCAATTCACAAGATCGTGAAGCGAGCTGCACACCAGTGCCTTACGATTCGATTCCACATGTTGTTTCTTAAGTCTTGGATTTACCTCGGCGAAGTTCTGATCATTCTGGGCACTTTGAACCCTCGAAGGGTGGAGTTATATTTCATATAGCTAGCAATTAACAATAAAGGATTCCAGCACGGTACACGACTCGGAACTGGAGCTTCGGGACATAGAGTACCCTACTACAGACCCTGGCTGCTGCAGCAGGACTCTTCTTGGGCGTCCATCTTCGGCATTGTGGGATTGCGTTCTGTCGTGCAAGAGCCAAGAAGCGAAGTCTACTTCCTTTAAATCTAACGGGACACGCCACACGTTTCAAAGCTAACCGGGACTCTACACATTGTAACACACGATGTTGGATTTGGCATATCATCGTGCAAGCTTGATAATGCACAGCACACCTCAAGAACAGCAGGCACTTCCTTTCATTTCCATCAAGCTTGTAGTCCGTCAGGATCACGTTGTCCCAACGAAAGCCATATGGAGAGTACTCGCCAGGAGCCACTTGCTAACATGCCATGATAAAATCCCCAGAGCTTGAGAAGCTATTCGCTTCAGCGTTGGATCAGAATTAGATACGTGCCCGTCCCACCTGTCATCATACAATCGTGCCCCTCACAAGGAGTGACTGACAAGAAGTAGGATCAGCCGGTGGTAGCAAGCAGTCTGTCCCAAAAGCCGGTGAAATCTAACACAGCGTTCATTGCGCGCCGACTTTGAGGATCCAACAAGTGGAGCCCGAAGAGCTACTGTGTCAGTTATATGGTCTAAGAAACGCGTTGCCGAGAAGCTCATCCCGAAGAAGCGCGTTCCCGAGCAGCGAGCGCCAATAGCAATTCGCGTTTTTTTTCTCTGTTTTTATTTGTTTCGGTCCCACCACCGCGTCGGTTTTAGAAGCGCGTTGGCGCATAGAAGCGCGTTCACCAAGAAGCGTGCGCAAAGCACGACCTTAGTCCAAGCACACATTTTGCATCGAAGATAGGGTTTCTTAAACGGAATGAATAAAGTTTCTAATTCCTTCCAGCGCAAAATCTTACATTGGTGCCACGACAAGCCCGGTGCACGTGCACAGACCAAAACTGCAACCAGACCGTTGTAGCGTAGACACGCGTTCCGATGCAGCAATGCGCGTGAGGGAATCCTGGTTTCTTTCCTCGATCCGCAGTGGCGTAAAGGAAACCTTCCTGTGGACTCAGGCGACACACTTGGCTTCCTTTCCTCTTTGGGAATGCATCCATCAGAGGCTACATCAGAATCCAGAGAAAACACAAACGCAAAGGAGAAACAAGAACCAACTGTTTGAGCTCAGCCATTGTCGGAATATCGAGCGGCATCTGATACCCACCGAAGCCATGCATCACTCTTTCATCCACCAACTACGGATGAATCGGTAGAAGCATGATGTTTGCACACAGAAGGAAACTTACAAATACAGATGTCGCAAGTCGCAAGTGCACGAAGCTGCGATCAATGCGCACCAGGTGCACTGCAGTATGCAAGCTTCTCTGCACCCGGAACGGCATGGCCGATGTAAGATTTGGCTTATGTATGATTAAGAAGCGCTTTCCCATAAACCTCTGCGCAATTTCCAAGAAGCTCGCGCAAGGCACGTTTAGATTAAAGGGTTTTGGGGGTTTAGAGTTTGGGCTCATTCAAAAAGGGTTTGTTTAGGGTTTAGGGGTTTATGGAGAAACCGGCAAAACTCTCTGTCTGGCGATGGCAAGCGGAGGCACGATCAGCAAGCCGGTCAACAACACACGCACTCCTAGAGAACTGCCGTCCTTGTCTGCCCGCAGCTTTTGTTCCGAGGAGCTCCGAGGGAAGTCCGTGCTGTTGGTGGTCTTGTGTCGGATGGCCTCCTCCACTCTTGCCAGCTTCTGATGTGCCTCTGCTTTCTCCGGGTGGCGTGCCACCTCTTTCATCGCCTCCAGCAGCGTCTCTTCCAATGCCTCCACATGCTTGGCCAACTAAGTGCTTAAACCTAGGGGTCCTCGACCCCTCAGTCAAAAAATTCTCAAACTGACCTATATCAAACGCCGCGCGGAACCTGTGACAGCCCTACAAGCAAGCCATGGTACTGAGGATGGACCTGGTAAACTTGAGAGCATCGATTCCAGAACAACCGCAGATGCCCCTTGCGACAATTGCATGATGCTGCTCATGCCGAAAGAAACCTGGCTTGGCTTGCAGATTCTGCTAAGACCCTGAATTGGAGCAAGTCAGGCATGTCAAGAACAGCATTCTGCCAGCTTCTCCAGCCTTACGACACTTTTCAGCGATCCTAGATGACGGCCCTGATGCAGATATATGGGCATCAGGGATTGACAATCGACATACCTGCGAGAACTCATTCGGGGACATGAAGCTTCAAGGTGCAACAAGAAAACACCGCCGTTGTTGTCCTGGAACGGTCAAATTTTGCAAGATGGTGAGATACCGCCATCAACAGCAGGAAACTAGTCATGAGTCTTCCAACTCATGCACCATCCCCATCCGAGAATCCTAGCAAACCAATCGTGAGTCTCCCAATTCAGGCACCGTCCAAAATCCCATGAATTGCAAGGAAGTGCCTCCTCTGTGGCTTTGGTGGCGACGTGCCCAGACTCCTAGAAAGCTCTGAGTCTCTAAGACGGTGCAGAAACAGAGGGCTCGCCTCCAAAAGGCTTTATTGGGCTTCTAATTTCGGGTTTTGGCTTTGAGGAACAGAGAATCCCAGGACTGCAGCAGTAAGCCTGGCTCTTGCTTGGTTTCGATTTCCATCCTGCCGGTTGAGGTGACAACTGCTACTGTCACAGACTCAGTCATGAAAAGAAGCCAAACCGCTGTCCTTTTCTGCCCGGAGATCCTGCTGAGAGAAGCTCTTTGCCAGCTCTTGCGCCGCCTGCTGCAGCTGTTCTGGCAGCACCTCCCGCGGCGAAGTCGATTCTGGAAACAGAACTGCATTGCATGGGTTGGTTCAATATGTTCAATCTCGGGAAGGACACGGTGTACTTACAGAAGCACATGCCCATGCCACCAACATGTCGAACACTTGCGATTCCGTGCCTGGCCTTCTTCGAAGCAGCCGTCGCGGAGCTTGCTGAAGTTACCGGGGCTGCCGCTGGCCCTGGCGCATGCTGTGCCGTCGCTGCCTGTGGATTAGAACCAGTTTCGAATCTCGAAGCACATGTGGTTGCCCCCGTAGACCGATTTCGAACATGAACGCAGAAAGGCCCAGGCAGAGCTTGTAAGCAGGTCTTCAAAGAAACGAACGTGGCTTTCAGGTTTGGGTATCGGCTGTTTCGAGGTTCAGTATTGACATGTTTTCGGGGCAGAGAGCAAACAACGAAGTCCTGCTTGTCGTCTTGATATGTAAGGGCAGGAGCATTCCTGCTTCCTGGACTCTGACATGCAAAATTGCGTCGCTCTGTCTTGCGACCCTGATTGTGCAATACCTGGAGGCTCCATACTAGTTCCTTTTCGGGACTACCTTATAGGATTCTAAATTATGAACCCAAAAAGGAACTACTGTGCAGCCTATGGGTAGACCCCAATGTTCAGCTCAGGCCTCCGATGCCTCTGGCGAAGCCTTCTCCGAGCGCAGTGCCCGCCCAGCCGCACCCTGCACAGGCCCACGGGAGGCCAGGGAAGAGTCCTGGTAAGCATCACATCCAATTACGGTTCAGGGGTTTGGGTTGAATGTCAGTCACCGTGCAAGCCCTGTCCTCATTCTCTGCCCGGCTAGACATCCTTCGCTGTGAACGGCTCACAGCGGCCTGAGCTCGGTTCAGCTTCAGCAGCGGCAGGCAGAATCCCAGCTCGGGACTCTGGCATCGGACGCTTCAAGTGCTTGTGCCAGCGCGGCTTGCTCCTGCAGGCAACATCACAGAACGAAAACAACTGGCTCTTCTGGTGCCCAGCGCGTGCCTGAATCTCGGCCTGCTGATCGAAGGCTTGCTGACTCTCCAGCAGCACCCTCTCAAGCCTTGCAGAGGCGAGAGGAGCCTCTTGCTGAAAAGAACGGATCTCGTCCGAACCTAGAGGCCTCGCAGAAGCTTCATCAGCTGCATCTACTGCTGACTGGGCCATCGCGATGGCCTCATCATCCTGCTATGGACAGTTCTATCGAGAACTATATGAAACGGCTGTGCCAACTCGATGCGGATGTGACGGCTATGTGACATCAAACGACAACCGTTTTCCCCGACGGGTACCCAAAAGAGCTACGACGGACGAACCCTTTCTTTTTGGATGGTTTGAAGCGCATTCGCGCCGGGTCCGTCGCAATCGCCAGTACGAGGCAAGCCGGCGCCGGGGGACGCTTTTAGCTGCCCCGGCCCGCTGCCCGCCAGCGAGCGACGACCCGAAGGTCTCCAAATAAAAAAAAGCATATCACCCAACAAGGGCGGTGAGGGTGGGAGCTGAAAATCGTCGGGGGACGTGGAGCAGACAGCGGCTGCAGCATCCACGTCGATTCGACGGTTGTCCCTACGCACATAAATGTGCTACACGACAACCGTTTTCCCCGACGGGTACCCAAAAGAGCTACGACAGACGAACCCTTTCTTTTTGGATGGTTTGAAGCGCATTCGCGCCGGGTCCGTCGCAATCGCCAGTACGAGGCAAGCCGGCGCCGGGGGACGCTTTTAGCTGCCGCCCGGCGCTCCCCTCACCCACTCTGCGCCGGCTTAGCCCGCTCACACCGCCAGATTCAGTAGCTCGTCGGCGGCGTCGTTCACCGCAAAGTCTAGGTCGGCGGCGGCCCGGGAGAGCACCTTGAGGATCGACTCGACGGGTGTGTGAACCCGCTCCCAGCCGGAACTTTCCGCCGTGTGAAGGTCTCCTCTCGACACTGCGTCGGAGACGTTGGCTTTGGACGGCACCCGACGGAAGTCGGGAAGCCATTCCGACAGAGCCGCCGTGGACCAAAAGGCCGCCAAGACGCCGTTGACGGCGGGGTCCTTCCCGTACCCTTTGGTGAGTGCCCATTGGCCGGCGACGTTGTCGATGAAGGCCAGCCACCTCTGGGGCAACCGACGGGACAAAGTGACCAGCGCCAGAACCTGGGCGACGATCTCGAGGACGTAGATAAAAGCCCGACGGGAGGCGAAAATGTCCAGGAACTTGGCCGGCACCACGCCGCAGTCGTAGAAGACGAGGGCGCCGATGCGGACGACGAAGCCCCAGCCGTTCCGGCCTCGGGTCCCCGGCCGGACTCCGACTTCTGCCGGTATGTGCCCGGCTTTGTGTTTCACCTCGCCGGGCTGGTAGAAGGCGTCGGCATAAATGATGGCCGCCGGGGCCCCGTCGTCTATGATGGGTACCCTCCTCGGCCGGATGTCTGCCAGCAGGGCCCGGAGAGACGTGAGGGCTGCCCGGAGGCCCGTCGACAGCGACGTGGCCGACGTGGCCGCCGCGTCGTGTGCCCTTGAGTAGACGGGCTGGAGGGCCGCCTTCCCCAGGGCGCCGAAGGTCGACTGGGTGATGAAGTTGAGCTTGCCGGCCAGACGGTTCGCCACATCCGGCGTGAGCTCGTCATTGGCCAGTGCGGCGTCGATCGTCGTCAGGACCTTCTTGACGCGTCGTTCGGTCGGCTGCAGGACCACCGCGTCGGTCTCGACGGACACGAGGACGCCCTGGACTGTCCGTTGAGTCGCCGGGGCCTGGGCCTTGGACGGCTTCGTCTGCAACCCGACGAGCTCGAAGAAGTCGGCCATCGCCCGGAAGGCCGAGTTCGCCGACTCGTGCATGTCGACGCCGTTGAAATCGTCGACGAAATGGCCGGCCAGGATCCAGAGGAGCACCCGCTGTATGGCCTGGAGGGCGTCGGCTGTCCGGTTAAAGTGCCATACCGACGCGGCGGCGCCGAAGCACATCGCCATATGAAACCAGAGGGATGCGCCGGCTGGGCTCGCGATGAAGGTGCCGGAGTGCGCCGGGTGCTTGACCGGCCACTGGCGGTAGGCGTTGAGGAGGTCATGCCCGAATATCCTCGCCAGCGTCGCCGGCCCCCCCGCCTGGTCAACCACTCGCCGGACCATATCCACGAAGTCGTCGACGAAATGGTGCGTCGGAACGTCGTGGGCCCTGACGGTGGAGTTGTGTCCGGACCTGCGCCAGTCTTCGGCGCGACGGACCTTTGCTCCTCCCTGTTCGTCTTCTTGCACGACGGGGAAGGAGGCTGCGGCAAAGGCCTGGCCCGGCGGCGGCGGGACCAGACGGTCGGCCCCCGGCCTGTCAAGGAGTGCCGTCGTCTTGAAGTTCCAACCGTCGGGGGCCCGGGTTGGGCCGACCACCCGGCCGAGACGGACTTCCTCCACGAGCTCGGCGAGGAGGGTGTCGGTGTGCTCCCCGACGGTGGCTGTGGACGCCCGCCGCTTAATGTACTCCCAGTTCGCCGACGCGAAGTTCTCGATCGACGCCGGGTTGGAGTACTTCTCGTCGGTTCTGGTCCTCCACCCCGGGCCTCGGCGGAGTTCTCCCAACATGTCGAAGCCGTCGGTCAGGTCCTCGAGTATGTCGCTCTGACCGACGGCGACCGCTGCTCCAGCCAGCTCTGCATGTGGTCCTCCATGTCGTCGACGAGGTGGGAGATGTCCTGTAGCACCTCCTGCCGGATCCTCGCCAGGTCGTGGCGCCACGACCGCCAGAGGAGCAGTACCCGCTCCAAGGCCGGCTCCAGATCGGGCCGCCGGGTCAAGGTGCAGTGCCGCAGGGACGCCGACAGCTGCCAATGTAGGTCCGGGTCGTCGTCGGGGAGGTCGATGTCCGGTCGGTGTCGCGGCGGTGGCTCCATCGGCACCGGTCCCCCGCCGAACTGTTCCGCGGCCCACTGGAGGGTTGACCGACGGGGCTCAGGTACCGGTGCTGCCGTAGACGAGGAAGCGACGGAGAAGGCCACGATGATCGCCAGCAGGCGGCGGGCTACCCCCCAGTGCCATCCGTTGGCGATGACGCGGTGGCGGGCGGTGTCGTCGACGAAGCTGGCCTGGGTGTAACCCGACGGAATGTGATGAAGGCGCTCCTTGACGCCCGCCGGGATGTTGTGGAGGCGGCCCGCGTCGTCATGCATCATGGCCTCCTCGACATAGTGCCAAGGGGCGAACCGTCGGCCGTCCGCCGCCCAGCGGGCCTTCGCCGGTTCGGGAAGCTTCTGCCGAACCCTCTTCGGAGGCTGTCTCCCGCCGGCGTCTTCAGCCGGTGTTGTGGAGCACGGGAGGCGCAACCTGCCGGACTCGACGGACGCCGGATCCACCAGGGCGCCGGTCAGGTCCGCCGACATCCACCATAGTCGGGGCCTGGAAATCCAGCCGAAATCCGACCCGCAGACCAGGACCGGCTGTACGCCGAGGGCGTCGCTGATCTTGGCGGCGTCGGCGGGCTCCATCACGACGTTCTGGAGAGGTCGGCGATGATCTGGTTGAACATGTCGACGGTGAGGAGGAAGAGGCTCCCCCTCTCGCCCGCGTGGCCCGTCGCCGGGCCGATCCGCGAAAAGTCTTGGCACGGCGGAGCGGCGGTGACAACCACGGTACATTCGCCAGTCGGGTCGGCTTTCCTGATGGCCGCCGCGACGGAGCCGGGCGACTCCGATGTGACGTCGCCTCTGTGGACCAGCCACGGCAGCCTCGCCGACGCCAGCCGTCGGCAAGTGGCGTCAATCTCCCACGCCAGCGCCAGGGTCGGTTGACCGAATAGATTTTCCACCAGCGCCGGGGCCGCACCGATCCCGTCAAAGAACGAGAGCAGGATGATTTTGGGCGCCCGCCGGGTGCGCTTGAGTGCCGGTCGGACGACGGTACTAGCACAGTGGCTGCCGGGTACCTCGCCGTGGTTGTCCGATCCGGGCGAGGAGGCCCCGCGCTGTCCCTAGCGGCGGCGCTTGGGGTCCTCCCGACAGCCTTCGTCCCGGCGGTCCTTCCCACCGCGACGGTCGTCCTGGTCCCACTGGTCCTGACGGCCTGCTTCCAGCGGTTCTGGGGCTGGCGCCGGTCGTCGTAGTGATCACGACCCTAGTGCTTGTTGGCGCCGTCGTCCTCCCTTCCCGGGGCGGCGACGGGGCCGACCTCGGCCCTTCCCCTTCCCCTTGGGGGTGTCGGCTGTGTGGTCGTCCTCCGTCGGGTGGCTGAGTTGGCCGCCCGTCGGTCCTCGGCGGGCCGGGCTTGACGGCCGACTGGAGTGCCTCATTGAACGCCGCCTGGTCCGCCATGATCGCCGAGGTCACCTCCTCGAAGGTCCGGGCGAGGCGCATGGACATGGCGAGCTGGTGCGCCGTGGCGTCCCAGTAGGCGACGACGGCCTCGAGCTTGCTCGAGTGAAGCCGGGCTTTGGTCGTCCACCAATCGACGTACCTAATGACGCCGGCCTCTGTCCCCACGCCGGTCAGGACCCACGCCCAGCGGATGGCCGTTGACATGCTTCTCGGACGAACGGCACGAACTTGATGCTCTGTGCCCCGCCGGTGCTGCGACGGCCGGCGAGGGGATTGACGACGCCGAGGGAGGACCAAGTTCGGGCCGCCAGGATCTCGCCGAGGCCGAGCGGCGTGTAGAGCTTGGACTTGGTGTGCTCCCAGTGGATCCTGGCGAGCACCTCCTCTGCTCCGACGAGGCGCTCCGCCGGGAACGAGCGGGGCTCACCCCCGAGCTGGACGGCGTTGTAGCGGGCGACGAGGTCGGTCCACTCCGGGAAGGTCCGCGGCGGCTTCTCGCCGACCATCGTCGGCAGGGTGGCCGGCGGCGGTGCGGCCGTCGACGGGGCCGGGGCAGGGGTGGAGAACTCGTTCCACTGCCGCCGGGCCTCCGACCACATGTGGCGGATGATGGCCCGGACGACTGGCTGCTCCGCCGGCGTCGCTTTGTATGTCGTCCCGGCGATCTCGTCGCCGTCGCGGAACGGCTGGAAGACCCTCACGTCCACGTCGGACCACTCGTCGGCGACGAGGGCGAGGGTAGCCGTGCGGTTGAGAGACCGCGCCTTCAGGTACGCGACGAGGTCCGGACCCGCCCCCGCCGACGTGGCGAGGTCGTCGAAGTCGGTCAGACGTCGGCGACGAGCTGCGGACCCATAGCCATGATCACGACGAGGGGGCCGGCGGGGATGGACGGGCGGTGCGGTCAAAGGCGGGCTGCGGCACGAAACAAGATGCACTGTGCGCAGCGACGGTCTCACCAAGTGCACGGCACCGGTCCCTTTTCTCAGGACGACGAAGAATCGTCGGAATCTGAGCTAGATGCCACTGGGGAGGCTGCCTCCTCCGTCGGCGACCCGACACCGTCAGCCGACGGGGCCTTCGGAAAGCACCTAAGGCACTTGGCGGCTCCCGCCGGTAGCTCGGTGATCCTATAAAAACTCCGGACGCCGTATGGCCAGGAACAACCCCGCGCTTTCCACAGAAAGCGGTCCGACGAGGCCTCCGTCGGATCAGGGGCGTGAGCCCTCTTCTGCCGCTCATTGTAAATGAGGTGCTCCGACGGCGCGACGGCGACCTGCTCACCGTCTCAGGTCTGACGGGGCCGGGCTCGAACGCGACCGTCGGGGAGTGATCCTCGTGCGGCGGCGTCTCCACCTGAGCCGGCTCTCCATCCTCCAGGGCCAGCGGCGGCTGATGGCCGAGAGCCGGTGGGGCCTTGGCCTGCGAGATGGCGTCGCCATACGCCGGCCGGACGCTGACTATCTCGACGTCATCCGCCAATATGCGCCGGGGAACGTCCGGGGCGACTGCCAGCGGCGCTGCCTGGACGTACCGCTCGACGGCGGCCGACGACCATCGGCCCAGCAACTGGATGATTGGCGTGTTGACGCCCTTGGACGCCAGCCACGCTGCGCCGGCCACCCGTGCCAAATGGCCGTTGAAGAGCTGGACGGTGGCGCCGTTGTGGTCGGTGGTGGTCAGCTGGATCAAGACCCGCCGGAAGAAGAGGACGGTCTCTGACTTCTCCCAGGTGTCACCGGTCGCGTCGGGGAACAGGGGTGCCTCACGCACCCACCGTCCGGCACGCCGAAGGCGGGAGACATGCGGGAGACATGGCGTAGCGCCGCGTGGTAGGGGCACAACGGCGCCACGGTTGCCCCGCAAGCGCACCGTAGCTGGCGTTGGGTCAGCTCGACCTCGGTCTTGTGCAGGGGAAGCCGGAGGGCGACGGTGCCGTCGGCGACATCAATGTCCTGCGTCCGCGCCGCTGAGAACTCGATCTCGCGGAGCATGAACCACACCGCCAGGATAAGGGCGTCGACGGCGTGTGCCGTGACCCACGGGCTCCACGCGTCGGCCCCCGGCGGGTCCACCCTGGAGACCAGGGCCACCAGGCGGCCGACGGCGAAGATGGCCTTCAGCTTCGAGCCGGGCAAGCCACGGACCACTGCCCGGGCATAGCGGCGCATGGCCCGCCGGATGAAGGGGGTCGACGGCCTCGCCGCGAAACTGTTCCTGGTAGGACACGGCGGCGTCAGAAATAGTTCTGGACGGAGAGGATGTTCTCGTCGATTTCCGCCAGCGCCGCCTCCCTGTTCTCCGGGAGGGCTGCTTCAAAGGCGGTGCGTTTGCACGCTCGACGGGTGTCCCTCCTGAGCGGAATGTCCTTCCGCTTTTCCGTCGGCCGGTCGGAGACCGTCGCCGGGGGCGGGATTGGTCCGCGAACCGTCGCCGCGACCACTACTGGACCGTCGGTCGGTACTACGGCCGTCGCGGAGGGCCCTATCGCGGGCCCTGCCGGCACGATCTGAGTTGACGGGGCCGGTCCTGAGGACCGTCGCCCCTCGGGGCAAGTGGTCGGATGCCCCCAGCCACCAGCCGGCCGAAGTCCGCCGTCCCGCGGCGGGGCCGCATGGGGCCAAAGGGGCCTAGGCGTGCGCCGGCCTTGGCGCCTCGAGCCAACCGAACCTCCTAAAGAAAAAGGTAAAAGAAAAACAGGTGCACGACGAACGACGGGCAAGCATGAGAAACTGCACTGCGACGGCCGCCCTCCTTTCTCGCGCCGGTGGCGCCTGATCGGCTCTGAGTCGGGCCCTGGGCGATTACAACGCCGGGCAGAAAAGAAATTGAATTAAGGCGTCGGGAGAGGCCCGCGAAGGCTTCACCGACGCACCCCCTGAGGCTTGAATTCCCACGTCGCCAGCGACAAGGCCGTCGGTGAGGTCGACCTTGTAGAAGACGGCGACGGTGAGATAGCGACGGGGGCCGGTCGACCGGATCACCGGTGCCGGGACTGCTCGTGGCAGTCTTCGCACTCATGGTGGTCGTGGCGATCCAAGTCGACGGTGCCGCCGGCCCGAATCAACACCGGACGGAGGCATCTGCCGGGAATGCCTCGGCAGCGACCGTTGGTGCACGGGTGCCCGCACCACCCGACACACCAGATCTCGCCGGGGATCTTCTCCGGAATGCGGCCTCCCCGGACGCCGGGCGGCAGCGCCCGCAGCACATAGTAAGCCGCTGCGGCGGCCGCCGGTACCATGGCTGTGGAGCCGTCGGCGGCGGCCCTCTCAATGTCCTCCAAGTGCTCCAGGTTGGCGACGGTGAGGGGCCGGAGCGTCTCCGGCAGCGTCACGTCGGACCTCACACCGGACTTGCCCATCAGCTCGACGTGGTCGCGCCACTCCTGCGAGCAGAGCATCCGGCGGATGTGGCCAGACGCCGGTACTCGCGCCTGTGGCGCTCGAGCTCGGCGGGGGAGGCATTCTGCCCCGGCCGCCGTGGAAGGATGGGGAAGCCGGCGCCAGTGATCGGATCCGCGTCGGGGTACATCTCTTGCGGCGTTGGTGTAGGTGCCCTGCGGAATGACCCCGACGGTGCTGGCGGCGACGGCGACGGTGCCGAAGCGGCCGGCATGGCTTTCACCTGCGGCCCGACGGTGCGCTGGTGTCGCGACTCCTCCTCGAACTGCCGCCGGAGCTCCTCGGCGATGCGGTCCTGGTAGTCGACGATCGGCACCGACGGGGACGGGCCAGCCGGCGGCGGCGGCCCAGGGATCACCGTCGACGGCGTGATCCGATCCGGAAGCACCGTCTGGTACCGCCGGTAGTAGGCGTCGGCCGTCGGGATGTTGTGCTTGTATGCCAACTCCGCGTCGGTCCGACAGAGATACCCCACCTGGTCCCAGACTTCCGGCGGGCTGCCTTTCGGCACCGACGGCGCCGGACGGGTGGGCTTCTGCGGGTATCCACCACCCGATGGCTTTCCTGCCGCCGGCATGTCGGCCGCGGACGACGGTGCGCCGGAGACCCCCGCGTGCGCCGAAGGAGGCGCGTGATGCCTGTCGACGGGGGGTTCCGGGCACGGGTCGTCCGACGGCGCCGGCGTGGCTGCTGCCACTCCACTTGAGCTCGCCGGAGTGACCCTCAAAGAATCGCCATACACGACGGGCCCTGGAGCAGCGGCGGGACTGTTGATCGCCGACACCAGGGCCCGCCGTTCCAGTCCGCTCCACTCGGCGAAGAGCTGGCTCAGATCGTCGCCGGCGGCGACGGCACGGCGGATCATGTCCAGCGCCGAGACCACGTCGGAGGACTGGTAAGCCATGGCGGCGGGAGGGTCTACCGGAAAGCTGAAAATCGTCGGGGGACGTGGAGCAGACAGCGGCTGCAGCATCCACGTCGATTCGACGAAGCACATGTGGTTGCCCCCGTAGACCGATTTCGAACATGAACGCAGAAAGGCCCAGGCAGAGCTTGTAAGCAGGTCTTCAAAGAAACGAACGTGGCTTTCAGGTTTGGGTATCGGCTGTTTCGAGGTTCAGTATTGACATGTTTTCGGGGCAGAGAGCAAACAACGAAGTCCTGCTTGTCGTCTTGATATGTAAGGGCAGGAGCATTCCTGCTTCCTGGACTCTGACATGCAAAATTGCGTCGCTCTGTCTTGCGACCCTGATTGTGCAATACCTGGAGGCTCCATACTAGTTCCTTTTCGGGACTACCTTATAGGATTCTAAATTATGAACCCAAAAAGGAACTACTGTGCAGCCTATGGGTAGACCCCAATGTTCAGCTCAGGCCTCCGATGCCTCTGGCGAAGCCTTCTCCGAGCGCAGTGCCCGCCCAGCCGCACCCTGCACAGGCCCACGGGAGGCCAGGGAAGAGTCCTGGTAAGCATCACATCCAATTACGGTTCAGGGGTTTGGGTTGAATGTCAGTCACCGTGCAAGCCCTGTCCTCATTCTCTGCCCGGCTAGACATCCTTCGCTGTGAACGGCTCACAGCGGCCTGAGCTCGGTTCAGCTTCAGCAGCGGCAGGCAGAATCCCAGCTCGGGACTCTGGCATCGGACGCTTCAAGTGCTTGTGCCAGCGCGGCTTGCTCCTGCAGGCAACATCACAGAACGAAAACAACTGGCTCTTCTGGTGCCCAGCGCGTGCCTGAATCTCGGCCTGCTGATCGAAGGCTTGCTGACTCTCCAGCAGCACCCTCTCAAGCCTTGCAGAGGCGAGAGGAGCCTCTTGCTGAAAAGAACGGATCTCGTCCGAACCTAGAGGCCTCGCAGAAGCTTCATCAGCTGCATCTACTGCTGACTGGGCCATCGCGATGGCCTCATCATCCTGCTATGGACAGTTCTATCGAGAACTATATGAAACGGCTGTGCCAACTCGATGCGGATGTGACGGCTATGTGACATCAAACAACAACCTCCTCGGGAGAATGGATGAGCCTGTCCACGAAGCCTCGGGCTGTTGCGAGGGGGAGACATGATCATGACGACACTGGGGAAAATTCTGAGTTGGCTGCCGGTTCTCATAGGCGGTCTGGCCTCATCCGTCTGCAGCGGCACCTTCGAGGCTACAACATTTCTACCGTAACACTGCGGGGCCGGATGCATGGCACCTCTGCAGAGACGGCCTTAGCAGCGGGGGGGCGGGATCATGCGAGAGGTGATGCTGCCACGCATCAAGGAGAAGCCGAGTGGCCGTTTGCCCCCTTCCTGTGACCGTCTCAAGAGCTGCCTGCAAGGCCCGTTTTTGAGGGCTCTCACATGTCGAAAAAGGACTCGGAGCCTGCAGGTCCCAGCTGTGAGACTCGAGAAGCTGCTGCGCAGAATCGACATCTGCGTCTGGGCCTCTGCCACAACGACATTTTTGCAACAAAATTGCAACAAGCACACACACACACACACACACACGCAACGCAAATGCAAGGCCAGCCTAAACAATCCAGAAATGCGATCAGCTTTTGATCCTGTGGGTACAAGAAAAAGCGGAGCCAGAGCTTTACTGTACTGTGCAGAACTCCGACAAGCTGTCCTTGTCCATCTCAGTCGTCCGCTTCAGTACTATGCACCTGAATCACTGCCGACGGGGCAGACGACTGGGGAACGTGAAGACGCGCAGGTAAGAGGCTTGGGGCTACCATGGGCTGCCTTGTTTAGGAGCCTTCATGCCAGGATGCTGCTGCTAGTTTCGGTAATCGAGCTCTTCTAGGGAGTTGGGAAGGGGTTCGGACTTGCGGGGTTGGCAGGATCCTTGCGCCAAGTCGATAGGAAAGGCCACTGTTGGATTCGATGCAGCTGTTTCCACGATAGCTGCACTACCAACCATTCTACAACTGTTGCTTTTGTTTTTGTTTGGGAAGGCTTTGGCTTCCGGATTGAGGAGTTGCGGCGTGGGGCAGAAGGACTTGAGACCTATGCTACTGGAAACAAGATACAGCAGCATCAGTGTTGATATTGGCATCGTCAACAGGAAGAAAACCCACCACCTACTGCCACCACCACCACAACCACAACCACGAATGAAAGCAACATCCTTCAGCATCACCATCGTCATCTGAGCCCCTGAAGCGTTTAAGACAGCGAGCAGTCTGAGAGACTCGCCACGAGAGGCTAGGAGCTCACCCGTCGGAGCTTTCGACGCGCCATTTTGCAGGTCGCTTCCGGTCGCCGAATGTGTTCTTGAAGTTGCGGTTCTGTCTACTGGGTCCTGATAAAACACTCTCTGCTGCTAGACTCCACTATTTCAGGTCTATCGTTCCCCTGTGTTGTTCTTGGTAAAGTTGAATATCTAGGGTCTATTGAAAAATGTGGCGGGTTTCGGGGCTTGGCCTGCGATGAACGGGTCTTACGGATTACATCTGTTCTTGGCAAGATTGGGATCTTTCGCGTTAAGGCCCCTATATCATAGTACCCTAAACCCTATTTCCTAAACCCTAAACCCTAAACCCTGTAAACCCTTATAGTAACCTCTTTAAAGGGACCCCTATATACCCCATGCTAATTGAACTCTGGGAGGTGCCGCCAGGGAGTTAAAAAGAAGTGTTCAGGCTTAAGTCACGATGTAAGTTAGGGTTTAGGGTTTAGAGTTTACGGGTGTAGAGTTTAGGGGTTTAGGGTTTAGGGTTTCAAGGTTTAAGGTTTAGTTTAGGGTTTAGGGTTTTAGGGTTTAGGGCTGAGGGGTATAGGGTTTATCTAAGACGGTTTTTTTATCTCAGAGCCATCGGCATCGCAATCCGTCGGAATCCCCATGGTGAAAGGACGACTAATCCCGAAAATCCCGACCTGCGTCATTGGGGGGCGGGGTTGTGAGAATCACGTTCATTTCGGAGCTTGTGGGGCACAGTTTCAGGGTAGCTAGATTGCCACACAGTGGATCCTAAAGCCAACACTTTGCATCACATGCATAAAGTCTCCATGGTAGTTCATCTTTTTTGAAAAGGGGGGGTACCTTGTAGGATATCAAAAATCAAACCGGTTCAACCAAAAGAGAACTACGATGGAGACATCTGGAGACTCTAGGGCGGAGTACCGGACCGAATCCCAATGTCTTTCCCAAGAGCTGTTAAAGGTTGTGGGGACTTGTTGAACGCTTCACCCTGAGGTATGTACCTGAAAAGGAGTATAGCATCTACTTAGCCCGTAAAGTACCTCCAAACCCAAACCCCTAGACCAATATTGGAAGCCCGTCGAGGCCTAAGACAGGCACATGGAACCTCAGGGTCAGCAACCACTCCCAAGCACTGCAACTCAGGGTTTGAAGGCTGAAGACACGACACCCGCCAAGAAGCTAGGGGCCTGAATAATGGTGCAGGGTTCCGGGGTCGATTGCAGTACTTAAAGGATCATGGGACTTATAGTAACTAGGGTTATAACTAGGGTAACTATACGTATAACCCCAATTAAGTCCCATGATCCTCCAAGTATACTTCTAGAAGGGACTAGTGGGAGATTTTTGTTGTGGACTCAATGTTCCGAACACTATATCGGCCCCCACTCAGCTGCCTCACCCTTGCGACCCTAAGGCTCCATTCATCCATAGAGTAGGTATGTAGGCCTTAAAGGTGTCCCTTACTTTATAACAGCGCAAAGTGGGACCTGCTCGAAGTGCAACCACTGGACTTTTGGTTGGGGACCTCTGGGCCACGGTACCGGTGAACGTGCTGTACATCCGCATGGGGCTGCAGTTGCCTGTGCTGAATGCTTTGACAAGGTTTCGTGTCAATCACAGTCCAAGCGATCTTTTTCCGAAGCCCCGCAGCTCGTCGCAGCAGAGGCCACGGCACAGGCACCTGGCAGTCCATGTAAAGAACTTCGAAAGCTGGCGTAAATGCGCTACGATGCACAAACACCTGACAAGACGTGCACCAAACTCAACATGCACTGCCAAGCCCAAACCTCCAGATCATCGATGAGACGGCTCCCCCACTCTCTCCCTCCCGTCTTAGGTTTCCAAAGTCGCTCTGAAGAGGGTTGTGCACATGTCCGCCCTCCTTCTCAACGATCCTTCTCAACGAAAAACCACAAGCTGCCGGCGTCCAGGCCCTGTAACCGAAACCCTATAATGCCTAGGCCCCTCAAGCCTCAAACCCTCAGATTAAAACGTAACTTCCGTCTACAGTGGACTCATCGGGCTTGCAGGTTTAGGCTTTTGCTCGCTACGAATAGGAAATCCTTCAGTGTTTAGGTGCGAAAGGCTTTGACCAAGAGGTGTTGACTGAATTCTGAATGTCTTGACCCAAAGTTTTGCTACTGCGACTAAACAAATTCGGGGTCTCGATAGGGTTTCGGGGCAGAGGGTTCAGTGTTTAAGGGTTCAAGGTTTTAGGTCTAGGGTTCAGGGTTGAAACAGGTCCGTCCAAAAAAGAGTGCAGGCAACTGCGAGGACTACTTCTTCCGACCTCTGTAGCAATCTCGAGGAGCCAAAGCAGTGTCGGGCATTGAGTTCGTGACCCGGGAAGAACCCGAACACGGATGCAAATTGAAGCTTCAGGCTTCAGGGATCAGGAGCTCTCGCCAGAAGTACTATTTTCGACTGCCGTTACTTGTCACTGTATTAATGCTAGACCTAGAAACACCACTGTTCATACGATGAATACTGCTGTTTAACGATTGTTCGTGTTGGTAATCAACCCTCATGAGCCCTAAGCCTATGAGCCTCCAATATCCCAAAAAAAAAGGAATATACCTTAAATTATAGTAGGATCCCTAATATGATATAAGGAATGAGCCCTGTAAGCCTGTGACTGTGAAGCCTTTCAGCCGTAATCCACAGCGCCTTTCAGCTGTAAAACCACGGCACAGCCTCCCAGGTCGCATATTTCTAGGGCTATGGCTTACCCAAAGGGTCCAAAGTACCTATATAGTAGAATGCAGGGTTTCTATATTAAGAACTAAGAAGTACTATTATGATTTGGGGAAGTCTTCCCCATAACAGTACATAGGACTCAGGACCCTTTGGGTTAGGGTCTACATGCGACGAAAACGGGCGCTGTTCCTTGCAAGGCATATCGTATCTCACTCCAAAACTCGCGTCCAGAGGATATCGGCTCCATTCTGGAAGCCGTAGTACATCGTCTGGTTCTGAGTGTCCCAGACCCCACTGCCTGAGACCTCGTTGTCCGGGTCCGGGCGATACTCGAACTGAACCCAGGTCCCGTTCAGATCTGGGAACTCATACCACTGCCAGAAACGCGGGGTAGTAGGCGATGTGCCGACAGGCCGCCGACCACTTGCCACAATCATCGCCCGACCCTGGCTTCCCCAAACGGCGATTTGCCCGTAGCGGACTTCTGGCCAGCCATTATTTCCTTGCGTTGCGGGAGTCAGCTGGGTCCATAAACTGTCGCCGATGTCGTAGGCCCAGAGCTCGTTCGTGGATACCCCTTGGACCCTTCCTGCGAAGACGATCATGCGGTAGCTCTCAGGGACCAGGACGGCTGAGTGCCCCCAGCGGGGCGCAGGATAGTTTGGCGGCCCCACATTGTCCGGCTGGAGCTGTCGCCATGTGCTGTTGCCGAGAAAGAATGCATACAAACCTCCAAAGTTGGAGTTTTGGCGATTTCCACCGTAGATCAGCATCATGTAGGCGCCATCCTTTTGGACTACCACTGCTGTGTGAAAGCGACGCTGGCTGGGTGCAGACGGAGCCGCAGCTGGGGCCACCTCTGTCCACGAGTAGTTCAAGCCTGTACCCGTGAGCAAATACACATTGTTCGGAGCATAGTTGGAGATGGCGTTCCCCACGATGCGTCTTCCTCCAAAAACCAGGGAGCCACCAACATCTGGCGAATAAGCAAAGGTGCCCTCAAACCTTGGGCCTGGACCCGACACCGCGGGCGTGACATCGGTCCAATTTAGAGGTCCGAGCCGTGGCCTGTAGAGCAAGACCTCGTCTGTCAGAACGCCTCCGAAGCGGACGAACTCTGATGGCGAGCTCGTGTAGGACAGCATGGCAAGGCGCCGGGGTGGTGTCGGCCTTAGCTGCGAGGAGCCCCACGGCAAGTCCCACGGCACCGTCGTTGTCGTGGTTGTGGTGGTCGTTGTTGGCTGCAAGACCGCACTGACAGACGTGACCGTTCCGTTGCAGATTTCCTGTTGGATGCCTGGGAAGAACGTCGGCAGGACCGCAAGGAAAGCCTCCACAAAAGCCTCTGGATTGCTCACGAGCTGGGCAACGGCAGCGACAACCCGAGCCTCATCGCTCGCGGGAAGTGTGACATCAAAGCGCATGTTCAGCAGGAGGGTCCGCAAGAAGTCCGGATCGAAGCAGGTCAGATTGCGATTCTCTGCCTCGTAGTAGATGACCTCTCCAGCATCCAGCTGCAATAAGTTTAAGTCGAAGGCAACCCCGGGTGGATTCCGAAGAGTGACCGAGCTTACCGGCACACTGACGTAGTTGGCGTACCAACTCACCAACTGCTCCTGGCCACTTCCGTTGCTGAGCAGAATCTCGATGGCGTTGGGATCTGGAGACGGGGTTGTCTGTGGCAGCACACAGGATTGATGCGGGTTGCTCGGAGTGGCAGGGAGCTTGTAGAATGTAGCAAATTGCACTACATTTGCTCCTTCCAAGGAAACGCCATACATGAAGTAATCGTACTCGGACTCGGATGTGCCAAAGGCAAAGGTATCGCCAAACCATGGAAAAAAACCTTCCGGGTGTCGGCTTCGTGGCAGATAGTCTCCGGGGCAGGACAGTTGAGCCATGCTTTGCTCAACCGTTTCACAAGGCCGGGTCCAAAAGAAGGTGCGGAAAACAAGACTGCGTGCTCCAATAAGATTGCCGTCCGAAGTTATATCCGCAGCTACTAGATCGACGATTCCGAGGTTGACGCCGGTATCTGTGAACTCCAAAATGGCCGTTGGGGTAACAACGCTGGGCAAGTCCACAAAGAAGAGCTGGCCTCCACCGGCGCCGTCTCTCTCAACCGATCTTGTGATGATGTAAACGCGCCCAGACGTACCAAGAACCTCTGCCGGGGAACCCTGGTCAACGAAGATCGCATTGGATATGAAGGCGCCTCCATCGGGATAGTTCACCGTGAAGACCTCCATGGTCATGTTTGCGAAGTCGCTCTTGTCTGCGAAGATCTCGGACACCCTGGTGATGACCACGCTGCTGCGAGCCTCCTGAGCCGGCCCTCTGTGTGGCCCCCCGTCCAGAATGAAGAGGTAGGAGATTTCGGGGTCCGGGCCGGGGCCGATGGCCAAGTCTGACCAGGAGATGGGTTCTGGCATTGGGATCTGGAGGAAAAGTTCGTCTAAGGGAAGTAAAGTGAGTATCTCCGCTGTGAATGTGAGGAACAAGCTCGAACCGAAGAACGTAACGAGATCCTCGTTGCCAAAGGCGCCCACGGGGGGCAGCACCCACCAGCCAGGATTCTTCCGGCTTTTGGCGAGACCGATCGGCCCCGTTCTTCCCCATTGTGGGAGGTTGCCGACGTTGGACCCGATCTCTCTGCCACGCTCTGTGACTGCACATGGCCACGGTGAACCCGGCTCCGGCTGGCCACTGGACACCGATGATTGCATGGACATGAGAGAGACGTCGCTGTCATCCCTGGCCTCCAGCAGTATGAGGGCGCTGACACTGCTGAAGGGCTCAGATGTCGTACTTGTCGTAGGCGCGGGCGATGTCGTGGTAGGGGACGGCGATGTCGTGGTAGGCGCCGGTGACATTGTAGTGGTGGGCGCGGCAGATGCTGTGGAGGTTGTGGTCCTGACCGTCGTTGTCGTCGTCTTGGGACCATAGCGGTTGTAGTAGCGGCCGTAGTGGTAGTAGTACGGACGGTACTGTGCATGTCGCCTCCGCCTCCGCCACCAACTTTTCTTTGCGGCTGGCGTCGCCTGCAGATCCTGCGCTGCATCTTTCCCTTGCCGGGTTTGCAAGAAGGCAAGATCTTCTGATTCATTGGTGTGTGTGGGGCACACTCCCCGAACCTCGCATGTCGCATCCACGTCGGCAAGCACGACGACAAGTATGAGAATCGCCCGCATTTGCATGCTGCGTGCAAGGCGGCGAAGCTGGCATCCTGGTGCTCGCTATTGGAGCTAGCCAGAAGACTTTTGCGCTGATCGCTACCTGCTCGATCTTGAGCCAAAATGGCTCTCGAGAACTCGAGAAGAACTGGGAAACGACACGCTGCAGGGCACAAGAAGCGGAAGCTTTCTTTCTTTCTGGACAATCGGTGAGGTCTTGTCTGAAGGGCAGCAAGCGAACTCTCAGCACAACTCTTGCGAGAGGAAGCCACTGGCCGAACTTGTCCAAAACAAAAAACAAAACAAGGAATCCCCATGCCTGAACCCTCTGGGCTCCACGCACAAATACGCCTAGGCCTAGCCCAACAAAGGTTAACCTTTTCAAGTTGGGTAGGGTCCCCAAATGGTGTAGCTAGTCAACTATTGAGTATAGCCCCCAACCGCATGAAGGCACAATGAACGCCGCCTACAGCTGCAAACATTTTTTTTGTTACGCATCTCTGCCCACGATCCAGGCAACAGTTCCCCGACTTCCTGGGCCGTCTGGCGTGCCTAAGTGCAGTGGCTTAGGGCTATATGGTTTAAGGATCAGGGTTTCGGGTTTAAGGATTGTAAGGTTTAGGGTTTTAAGAATACTTTAGTTTATGGTTTAAGGGATAAGGATTAAGGTTTAGGGCTTAAGGTTTGGGGGCTAAGGCTTGCGGTTTCGGGTTCAGGGTATAGCAGTGGCTTTCTGATAAGACCTTACGAAGCCCCCGTAGGTTCCAGCTGCTGAAGGTTGGATTTCGGATGAGCGCAGGGCTAAACCCTAAACCGTTAAGGTTTGAGGTTCGTGTTAAAGAATTGGGCTTTTGGTTCCTACAACAGGGAACTACAGTAAAACAACATGGCTGCCGATAGCTCGAACTGAAGTCCTCAACAAGAGCCCGGTACTCGGAGGATCATGGGACTTAGTACAGTAAGGCTATAAGTGCCTTATTCAGGGTTATAAGTATGGTTACCCTAATTGAAACCCTATTTACGAAGTCCCATGACCCTTTTTAAGTAATGTTTGGGGTTCTGGCTGATGCGGGCGTCGGTATGTAGGCTATGGACCCCATGAGCCCTACATGCCTCCGACGGAACTTTCAACTCCCCAAGTTATCACCCTGTTTAGCGTTTAGGGTTTGGGATCGGTTTTCTTCTGGCCCAGATAGAACCCTCACAGGAACCCTTGCCGAAGGAAACATAAACTCTAAACCCACCCAGGCCCGAACGAAACAGCCCAGGGCTGCTTGGAGGATCATGGGACTTAGCAAGTAAGGTTATAAGTACCTTAATTGGGGTTACAAGAAAAGTTACCCCAATTATAACCCTAGTTACTACGTCCCATGATCCTTTAAGTGTGTTGTATGACAAGAGGCCATCCGATGCCCCGGTGTAAAGCAATATCCGATCTCCAGGCTCCAACTCGGCAGTCTCCTGCTAAGCCGGATTAGGCCTCTGGGCAATGGGGATTCGGGCTTAGGGATTTAAGGCCTGCTGCAGGGTTTAGCGACACAGGGATACCGTGCCTGCTTTCTTTCTTTCGCATCCCAATACCCTGAAGGAGTATCTCTGTTTTGCGCCGCCTGCTGCAATGATCCCAAGTCTCAAAACCCTCGAAAGCTTCGAGCCATGTGCAAGAGCCGCAAGAAACTCCTAGCAGGTCCCATGCAACGACTCTGTCAAGGTCGCAGAAATGCGGTCCTTCTGCGCCATTTTCTTCTTCTCCCCTCCGTGGCTGACCCACACTGGATTCCTTCGGATCAGGTAGGTTGCAAGGGAAGGGTTCAGGGGTTTAGGGGTTTAGGGTTTAGGATTAAGAAGGCCTGGGGGGCTTAGGGTCTAGGGGTCTAGGGCTTAAGAAGGCTTAGAGGTTAGTGTTCACAGAGTTACGAGGGCGGAGGGTTTAGGGTCAAGTTGGCAACGCAGACCGGCCGGAATGCTTCGAGACCCTTCGGTCTTGTCATAAAGAAGGCAGAAAAACGGATCTTAAAACTCATTGCTTCTCTACGCCCCTTCCATCCCATGGCTCCCTGTACCCCGAAGCTATCACCTTCTCGCACCCTTACTCCTATACAGTACCATATCTTAGTTCATCGTAGATTATTGTATAGGAATTGTTTAGTAGTCCTTGGAGTCCTTGGGCCCCCACTCGGATTTTATCCTACGAAGTTATACTACTTGAACTGTTCAAGGCTCCACGGTCAAACACTCCGCACTCTGCAAGCGTACACATCGCAACTGCTGGGGAGCACGAACCCTGCTGTCAAGCCACTCGAAGTATTGCTACTAGTATATACTAGTCTTACTATCCTAATATGTATTGCTATGATTACCATTTACTATTATGTACTAGTCTTACTATATATTGCTATGATTACCATTACTATCATTGAAGCAATTCTTTTATCTTTGCCGTCCAGCTGCGGACTCAGCTGTATCAGCTTCAGCGTCGCTCGGAGTGGAAACGGCGTCACGCGACTGGGAGATAGCTTCGTGGGCGCTGAGGCTTGTGAGATGTGCCACAGCATACATGAGAGTTTCCGTATACACCCTATACCCACAACAGTACAATGCTATAAACCCCAAGCCCTACGCCCTAAAACACAGGATCCGAAGGAATTACTGAGTTTCGTGTCCCTTCGAAGGGCAAGATCCGATCCTGCCCTGAGCAGCAAAAAGTAAGAGAACCGTAGAAAGCCGAGGAGACCAATAAAACAGCACTCATGTGCAAAACAAAGGCAGACCCCCAAAGTATTGCTTGTGTGGGATCTTCCAGCATCGGGGATTCTACCTCCCTCTTTCCTTTGCACCTTAAGCGCTACTTCAAGGGTCATGGGACTTACGGTTGATGATATAAATCCTGCATTACCTTAAAGACCCCAAACTATGGGAATTACGGTATATTCCTCATTATGGGTCATGCAGGATTTATATCATCAACCGTAGTAACAAGGGTTATAATTAGGGTAACTAACTATACTTATATCCCCGAATAAGGGTACTTGCAACCGTACTTACTAAGTCCCATGATCCGCCAAGTAAACCCTAAACCCTGCCATGCCTGAGACTGGATCGCAGACTCACTCGGCAACTTGCGGAAGCAGAACTGTCTTTGCGAAGCCCACATAAAGCAGAACCCTGACCCCTAGGCTACGAACGTGTCTAACACCACAAACCCGAAACGGGTCGAGCAGACTCGCATTGGATCTCAAAACTCCCATGGATTAAGCCCCAAAACCCTAAACCCTAAACCCTAAACCCTTAACCCTAAACCCTAAACCCTAAACCCCGCAAACCCTAAACCCTAATCCGAACCAGCTGAGCCGCTCTTCGCGCATCTCCTGCAGTGGGTCCCGACTGAGTTTGCTAGGTTGCAATGTTATATTGCATTATAATGTTTTGTATTGCATATATATATATACAGATTGTACTATGCTATATCATCGTATGGTATGCTCTAGTGCAGTATATTACATTATACTACATCAAAGTACTGGACTTTACATGATATAGCACTGTATTCAACTATATGTTACAATATATTAGTATATTATCTTGAATTATACTGTGATATATTGCACGATGCTATATAACATTGCATTATGCGACATTATATTGTATGACATTACCTTACGTTATATCAAGTTATGTTACACTATAACTATAATACATTGTAAGACCTGTCTTAAATCGTATTATAGTATACCACACTATATTACGTTGTATGATGTTCTGTTGAAATACAGTGTATAACAATATGATATGTTGTGATATCTATCATAATTATATTATACCACTGTATATTAGATGATGTCGCGCTGTATTCTGCCTTGCTATGTTGTGATATGTGGCATGATATCATGCTATGCAGTGTCGTGTGATGTCACTTAGATAAAACTTTCATTTTGGGAGGGTTCAATAACACGCCAAACCGTGACAGGGCATCTTCTGGAGCTTAAGTAGACCACCCCAAGACCTCCTAAGCTCTAATCGCCTGCACGCCCATATGAGAGTCTCCGAGAAGAGGGAACCTAATATAGTACCCTAAATAGTAGGACCCGAATTTCCCCTAATTTGCGGAAACGCCTAAGAACCTCTCTACTATATGAAGAAGTATGAGTCATAACTGCAGTTACAGCTCAACGCATCAAAGCCGTCAAGAGAACAACAACAATCACCCAAAAAGCCAGGAACCCTCACAGAATCAACATGCTCACTCAAGCCCGAAACCCTCAAGAACCCACAACAATCCTCAGCAAAAACAGCCATCAACACCCTCAACGTCATGAAAGCCACCCTCAAAGTCATGAACCCCCTAAGCCGTAAACCCCTAAGCCCCTAAACCCTAGGAGACCCTGGCCTCCACCCGGAAGTGCTCTCGGCTTACGAAGTTCTGCACTTCCTCCGGCAAGGCCTGCAGCGATTTTTGGCCGTTCCTCTACGAGCCAGTGGGTTTAGGGTTTAGGTTTTAGGCTTTAGATAGGGGATACTTCCCCAAATCATGGTAGTAATTCCTAAAATAGGAGCCCTACATTCTACCATATAGGTACTTAGTACCCTTTGGGTAGCTCCTTTCAGGGCACCAAGGTTTGCCGGGTCTCCCGTGCACGTTCAGGCGATACTCATTCCAGAAAGGGCTAAAGCTAAAGTGAAAGTTCTTATCAGCTCCTGCTTTCGAAAAGCCCTAAACTTCAAACCCTAACCAGCTCTACTTGGAGTTTCATGGGTAGTTATAACTGGGTTGTATTATAACCCGTCTTTATTTGTCTTTGTGTTACTTTATTTGTCGTTAAACGCCTTTATTTGTCTTTATTTGTTTTGATTTGCTTTTAAAAGTCGATTGTGTCGAAAAAGCCCTGTGGATCTAAACCTTGTGGTTCCGGTTCGGTGCAAACGGTCAGTGATATAAGTCCACTACCACGGGTTACCTATAGTCTCCCTTGTAGTTCCTTTTTTTGGTTAGACCATGTAATTTTGTAGTTAGGATCCTATAAGGTAACCCAGAAAAGGAACCACAATGGAGACGATAGGTACTTTCGATATCCACTCAACCTCCAGGGTCTCGTGTTTGAGTTTAGGGTCAACACCCACTCATCCAACTACGCCCTGACCCAGAGCTCCAACGCCACAACCATAGACTGAAGCCTCAACCCCTACCCCACCACCCCGGAAGCCAAACCCCAAGGGATCCGACATTGAGAAAAATCCCAACTCCTCCAAGTGGCCTTTTGGTGAAGCTCAAGCTGGTAGGCTCGGCCAATGGTGATGGCGTTGTCAGGCCCAGGGTACACCTTCCTGGCAGGGAGTGGTCAATGGAACTCCGGTTTAGGGTCTACGAGGGTCTACGGTTTGGGATTTGCATTCAGGATTTGGCGTTCGGGGTCTCTCCGTAGCCATTTTGGCTCAAGGCGTCTCGGTTCAGGCAGCTTCAGCTCGTGGTCCCATTGTGTTCCACCGGCTGACTGCTAGGTACCAGACCCCAGCGACATTCCTCGAATTTCGCGCCGCGTGTGATCCAGGTGGTCTCACGCTCCAGCCCCTGGCTCCGACGCCTGGTCTCGGGGTGTTTGCTTCGGCAGACCCTCTCAGTGGTCCTACCGCTCTCAGTCGCTGTCTTTCGCTAGGCCGACTGCTTTCCCCTTGGCCGTGTGGTGCTTGGAGGTCAACCAACTACAGGCCTTTTGTCTCGGACTGGCCATCCGCTTGCTGCGCTGGTCAACAGTATACAGACTGTTTTAACCCAGACTGGCCATCCGTCTGCTACGTGGTGCTGGCCTACCTTCTACCGGCCTTTTGTCTCGGACACTGGCCATCCGTCTGCTACGTGGCGCTGGTCAACCTTCTACCAGCCTTTTGTCTCGGACTGGCCATCCGGCTGCTACGTGGTGCTGGTCAACTTTCTACCGGCCTTTTGTCTCGGACTGGCCATCCGTCTACCGGCCTTTTGTCTCGGACTGGCCATCCGGCTGCTACGTGGCGCTGGTCAACCTTCTACCGGCCTTTTGTCTCGGACTGGCCATTCGGCTGCTACGTGGTGCTGGTCAACTTTCTACCGGCCTTTTGTCTCGGACTGGCCATCCGGCTGCTACGTGGTGCTGGTCAACCTTCTACCGGCCTTTTGTCTCGGACGCTGGTCAACCTTCTACCGGCCTTTTGTCGCGGACTGGCCATCCGGCTGCTACGTGGTGCTGGTCAACCTTCTACCGGCCTTTTGTCTCGGACTGGCCATCCGGCTGCTACGTGGTGCTGGCCTACCTTCTACCGGCCTTTGGTCAACTTTTTACCGGCCTTTTGTCTCGGACTGGCCATCCGGCTGCTACGGTGCTGGTCAACCTTCTACCGGCCTTTTGTCTCGGACTGGCCATCCGGCTGCTACGTGGTGTTAAAGTGCTGGTCAACCTACTGGCTGGCCATCCGTCTCGTACGTGGGTCCACACTGGGCCTTTTGTCTCGGACTGGCCATCTGTGTGGGGTGCTGGTCGCAGCTTATCCACCTGTTTGGTACTCGCGCTTTTCTTCTGATTGTCTCACTACTAGCCGGATGTTCGGCTCGGCCATCCATCTGGCACTGGTGAGATGTGTTGGTGTACAGGACGCTTGCCGCGAGGGTCCCATCTCTGCGAGCGTGGTCTCTTTTGTCCTTTTTTGGTTGTGTCCTTGGGCCTCGTCCCTGGCTTGTGCCGGCTTGTGTAGCACTCGTTGCCCCGCTCTTGCGCTCGCCTGAGGCATGAAGCGCTTCTGATGTGCTCCTGTCAGCTCTGGTCCTGCGGCGCCTTTTCGGGGGCTGTTTGCACTCCTCGCGCTCCGGCTGCTTGGATGTGCTCCCCCCGGGTGCCCGCTGCTGTTTTCTGTGTTTAACTGAATTGGCTGCAGCTTCGGCTGTTTTTGGCCTTGCACGCTTCGCGCCGGATCGTCCGCATGCGAGAGAGAGAGTTCGGGGTCTGGAAATTTAAGGGTTGCGAGTTTAGGTCGGGATCCGTGTTTCAGCTCCGTTTTT